TTTATGGAAACGGAGACGAGCCAGGAGGCATATGAATACATGTATCGCACGAGGGGGGGGAGGAATCGCAAATGAAGCAAAAGTGAGATTGGTAGACTAATAATAGACTACCAATAACGGTACCGGTACGGTACAGCCGCACCATGATGTGCCCCCTCCTAGCTAGTCTACCGGTAACCCCCCTTGTCCCCTTGTATCGTATCTCGAGGCGCGTCTGCGAGGGTGAAGGATACCGTACGAGGGTCTGGAAGCAAAGAAGCCCAAACAATCAGCCGGGACACAAACGTGATGTGCTACGTCTGTTCCAACAGTAACCCATGCAGCTCTCCTCAATTCGATTCCGCGTATGACATTGCATAACATACATATATGTAGCCGAGATGGGAAATTGTTCGACCAAGAATGGTGCTGCTGGCAATCGCGTCCGGCCTCCTGATTTAGCGGGCAAGCAGATTGGCGACAAAGTGTTTTTGCCACCTCAACACTGTCGCAATCCACACCCTCCACATTCCCATTTGCCCTTCACCGTGACTACGTTTCCTGGCCACCCAAATAAGAAGGTGGTGGGGAGGACCTGTAATTATTGCCAGAATCGAAAGCCCACCACTAGTAGCAGGACCATTAACAAGAAAGACTTGATGCCCTTGGGTAAGACCCATTTCATTGTGGCATGATTTGACTGTAAATGTTTTGCTGGCCTTTTTAAAGAGAGACGGTATCACCCTTGGTTGGGACACATCGCTACTAGTACTTGTCTTGTACTGCAGTCCTACTCCTGATGAACCATCACTGTCCACGACATCTGCTATATTCTTGGGATTGCTAAGTGATTGCAGCCACTGCGAGCAACAGCTGAATAAGTGAAAAGAAAGGCACTTTTCTCATCTCAACCTCTTGGGAGAACAAGCTGCTGGATTGAGAGTCAAGGTACCGGTACCGGTACTGGCAAGGTGCATGCACGTACATGTTTGGTTTGGTTTGGTTTGGTTTGGTTGGTGTAGCTATGAGAAAAAGAGGCCAGTGAAGTGGTGTGCCCATTGCTGACTTAGCCACAGCTCGGGCAAGACCTTCAAACCTGTGCAAGACCTTCAAACCTGTGCAAGACCCTTGGCAGCAGGACCAGCTTTCTGAAGTGAAACCAGAAGATGAGTGAGATATCAGTGCATGGGATTTGATATCTTTGATAAAGCTATTGAATCAGCTTCCCATTTATGTCTCTGTGGAGCCAAACCCTTTGTCCTCGTAATGGACCTCAATTTATCACCCCTGATTCTACGGAACCTAGTTCTGAATTTTGACTCTTCTTTGCTTTTAAAAAAGCCTGGCCCTTGCTGGCTTCTGCAAATAATCCACCTTCTCTTATAGATTGAATCGAATGATCAATCAGCTTTGGATCAATCGATCAACCACAGCCAAGATGTCTTTCTTGCAATGTTAATAAATAATTGAAACAATGTAGCCAATTGAACTAGCAACTAGCTAGTTGAAATCCGAAAGCTCATAATAACATTATTATTGCACAAGTATCTTTGCTGCAATGCGTCCATCGCGATCGACTTTGCCACACTTTGATATCGTGCTACCCAGATCTTGGTACTTTGGAGCTGCTTCTAGTCTACTGTATTGCCTTCAAGTTGTCTTTTCTCTGAATGTACAATGAGCTCCTCTGATTTTGAGGTATGCAGCACATTGCTCGGCGTGATTTATCTGATCCCTTGATCTTATTAACTTTGGTTCTTTGTTTCGTGTCGTCGTAGTACCCCGAATTCTATTCCTTCCCTCCCTTCTTCACCATTCAACCCGTGCTATCGACCCGCGAAAAGCAAATGGCATTATGGCAAGAACTCATTTTGCGTTATCACACCGAAAAGAAAATCAAAACGCTGGTGGTCCATGATTGTCCACTGTGGAAAAATGAGTCAATTGGACGACAGCTGTCCCCGGAAGATATTGGTGTTGTCATGACGGAGTTTTGCAAGAGTGGTCATGGCGAATGGCAAGACGACAACGAGACGCGATGTCGCATTTTGTGGAGAAAACCGGAACAATTGGCCACCGATATCTACCAGTGGGCCGAGGCCAATCAAATGATCAATAACGTGTGTACGGTCTATGAATTACACAGTGGTAAGTATAAGCAGTCAAGAAAAAGAGGTCTACCAGAGGAAACAGTGGAAATCCATGGTGCTTTTGTCTCACTCATTTCTCTCTCTGTCTCTCTTTGACTAAATTCTTCTAGGAGAGGACGTGAATGGAATGTCATTTCAGGGTGCTGACGAAGAATTGTTACGACGAGCCTTGAGCATTCTGGAAGATCAAGGCAAGGCCGCCATTTTCAAAGGAGATACCTCCGAAGAGGATGGTATCAAGTTCTTTTGATGGGCGAAATCGCATTTCATCAGACAGCAATCAACATTATTCTAAACAAAAAACTAACAATTTGCTGGTTGCAGCGACTGGGCGAGATTATACCAAGTTGAAAATATGGGTATGGAAGACCAACGAGTCGTTGGCAAGCTAGATCCTTCATTGCAGAGCTAGCATCGACGACTTGGATAGGGTACACAACACAAGGCAGACTCAGATGGAATTCAATTATTACCCTTTCTACCCCAACAATCCTGGCTAGCTACGGTAGCCAGCACCCCCGCACGTTGCTCTGATCTGCTACTCGAAATAGACTTACGGTAGAACCTCTCGTCTTGCCAATCCCCTATTTATCGTTGTTGCTATCGTTTACAGTTTCCGTAGAGCAACGCGTAGAGTCGATACATGAGCTTGGAATTGACGTAATGAAACGAAATGCTTTGTGTAGAGCAGTGGTCCACGCCATGCTGAATCCCAATGGATTGTTGGTGATACCATGCGGGGAATTGGCTTTCGTAGTGATGTCCCGGAGTGGTAATCATGAATCGTTCGCCTCCAGTATCGTCTTGGGTGTCGTAGGGAAACACACCAAAATGGGCGAACGTCCGGGCCATCATCAAGTCTTCTTTGGACGTGTGTTGTTGTGGGACATACGACTCGGCTTGAACGACAAATACTTTGAGGGCGGCCTTGTTGACCACATAGCCGGGTCCGGCGGCATTAAAGATATCATTGAGATTGCCACCCAGTGCAAAGCGTCGTCCCATGAACAGTGGTATTTGTTGTTGTGTATTGTCATTGTCATTGTTGGTAGTTTGATTGTACCGTGTGGCAGCGATGATTTCGAGACTGGCCAAGTAGAGTCTCAAGTTTTCTACCAACAAGAATACCATGTCATTGCTAAAATAGAACCAATCGTACTGGTCATAGTAATTGTCGTAGATGAAACTCCAAGTACTTCGTACTCGTAGCCATCCACGCATGTGTGGATCGTCCAATGTGCCACCGTGGGGTATATGGACGGTACCCAAGGCCGGATCCGTCACATTGGATGCCACCACGAAACCGTCGCATTTGGGACTGTCAATTCATAAATAATTATGCGTGAATGGTTGTTAGAAGTAAAGTTCAGCAAAGTTCAAAGCAACAATGAGAAATGATTGATACAATCAACTCCATCAAAATGAAACACATTTGATGGATGTTGTTGATTGTGTGGCAGTACTTACCCCCATGTTCTTCTCAATGCTGGTATTCTATCGTAATGCCGATGGCCACTGGTTTGTACCACACATAGAATTTTCTGTTCTGCTTGCTGTTTGGTTTGCTTTTTGGAAGCATCCACAGCAACCTTTTCGTGGATCATTTTGTAATCGCTGTCTCGAATCTGACAGGCATCTTTGAGTTCACCGCCCGTCAAATTGAATCCGGGAGGATTTTGGCGAAGAGCCGTAACATCGGGCACGTATCCGTCTTGACCCTGGTCGTCTCGAGCGATTCCATCGGTCGCGGATGCACTGCGCTGCACAAAGACCATGTCGACCGGTTGCGACTTTTGAAGAATTTCCACGTTGGATGGTCTTAGGAGTGGCTTATTCTTGGATGATAGTTGTGTCTGCTGCTGTTTGGTGGTAGTCGTGGCCGATGGTGAAATAATCAAGGTCGACTCAAAGACAATGCCATAGACGAGCAGAATCACCAGAAAAAAATACGGATGCCGATAGGACAAGTTTTGGGAACGGATATTCGACACATTCTCTGTAAACGCGGCGCTTAGCTTTCGAACCCACGATCGAATCGACTTTACCAATGGAGATCGTCGTGGTGACATTGTATATAAGATAATTTGGAGGATGTATCAGGATCAATTCAATTGCAGGCTACCGGTATGCTATCATCTCCAAAGCAACCAAAAAGAGTTCTTGGTTTTGGCTTCCGCGGCTTCGGAGAAAGATCGCAGGATCCAATTCGAATGATCATTCGAATGTATTCGAATGGACAGTCGTATTCGGATGGACCATGATCAAAATATTATTGCTGTGCGCCACATCTACGTCATCGGTGGCAACTCCTTTGTTGACACTTTTTTCAAACACCCCTATCATCATCAACCATGCTGACCATGCTACATGTATTCAAGACATACCGTACAGGTAGCAATTTCTACTAGCTACCGTAGTCTAGACATCCTCTACTACTGGCTAAAAGCATGGTGGCTACAAAGGAGGAACTGATAACTGTCTTTGTCGTTTCAATTGTTGGTTTCAGCGGCGCGTTGGAAGCTTGCACATGGATCCTCCGATCCGTCCTCGAATATTACCCAGGATTGGCACTGGATAAAAAGCACATTCCCACACTCATCACACAAGGCCCTTCCTATATTACTTCCATGGTACATTGCATTCTAAATAGCTATCGAGGCATCCAACAACTATATGGACTGTACCATGCTCCCACACATGTCAAGCTCTTCTTTCCACCAACCCCCCAAGAGTTTGAACCGTATATTCGAAACGTCGAACTATCCAATGCCATCTTTGCGGCCTACCTCCTCTTTGACTTGATTCATATCGTGCGGTTATATCCCAAGCTGGGTGGGGCCGATATGGTGGCCCATCACCTCGTGTTTCTGATTTGTGCCATTATCAATGGTTCCTACGGGATTCTCGCATACCCCTTTTCGTGGCTCATAATCGGGGAAATATCCACACTATTCCTGGACATTCGATGGTTTTTGATCAAGACGGGGAGAGGAGATACCAACTTCTTTCAATGGATGCAATATCTCTTTGCAACGAGTTTCTTTTGTACTCGAGTGGTGATTTATTCCGCCGGTGTGCTGGAGCTCTTTGGGCAACGAAGTGTGTTGAGGGACCTTGTAGCCAATGGTCACGTTCCAGGTTTCTTCATGGGGACTACTCTCCTGTTTATTGGTGCTGGTTGTCTGCTGAACCTATTTTGGTTTCAGAAGATTGCAGCAATGGCATTTTCCACCAACAACAAGAAGCCTAAAAAGGAAGCATGATGCCGTAAGAGCGCCGGAGTGTCGGGAACAAGCTCTCCCACTCAATATGATGGCGTTGGCTTGGCTGTTGCTAAAATTCAATGTGCATTGTATTAGTGTAGTATGGCTACAGCAGTAAGAAATGCTGCTCCCTTTGTGGATAGTCGGTTGTTTATCTTTTGATGTATGGGAATCGCCGCCAACCCGAGCAACAACTCCCCTGCCACGGGTGCTGTGGTTTCGCGAATTTTTAAAAACTTTCTTCCAAACGACTTGCATTCCACAAGCATGGATCCCTTTGCAGAGTTCTGCCACTCACTGTTTCGTTTCAGGCTACCGTACAATAGCCCCAGCCAATGCCGGGTGCATCGAATCGAATCTTTCAAAATCAAGCCACCGTCTCCGCTGTCTCAAACTGAGGGGACGAGAGAGTGAGCATTAGTTGATGTGGGGGTAGATGTACTAGTATGTTTACATAGACTAACTCGATGGCGGCTGTCCCAAAGGGTTTGCTTTGCAATTCACCAGAGAGATAGATATTGTTTGCACGATTGAAGAATGACGTCATCGAAGAGGACCTTCCTCGCCACCTCCAAGACGACGACAACAACACAACAACATCAGAGCGACGGTCTTTATTCTTTGCCTTGAACGCTTCAGCAGAAGGGGATCCCTGAGAGAACAGCTTAGATTTGATATCAAGATCAGAGCATCCCCCTCAGGATCGCAACCTTCCAGTGACCGAAGTTAGGATTACCCCCTTCATCATGAGTAAAGGTACAATGCTTCGATTGTTTACCACGGTGGCAGCGTCGGTGCCTGTAGCTGCTACCAGAGGCGTAGCTGCTACCAGAGGCACTACGTTCACTCGTTTGGCCATGCTGAGTACCATGCGTGGCGGCGAGAGTCCGGCGTATGAAACCCTTGACCATCCGGCTCCCGGGTCGCCGTTCCACTATGCATTTCCTGTGCACGACCTTGAAAAGGCCAAGGAATTTTACGGAGGAATTTTGGGGTGCAATGAAGGAAGAAGCTCTGAGAAGTGGCAAGACTACAGTCTTCACGGTGTGTCCTCGTATGACATTTGTTTCTCCATGTGATCGATAACTTTGCTGTAATCTCATTATTTGCCTTGAACCTGCCGATCCGCATGTACCGGTATTTAGGTCATCAAATTGTAGCTCATTGGGTTGGCAATGACTATCGGTGTCAAGACTATTATAACGTAAGTACGAGTATGCGTGGAGAGAAGATGGCCTTGAACAAGAAGGAGCTTGTCTGCAATAGCACTGATCCCAACAATACTCTCGTTGGTCGCTCTATTTGTCACAAAATTTGCAGCCAGTAGACGGCGATGAGGTGCCCGTTCCCCATACAGGTTTGGCCCTTACAGTAGAACAGTTCCATGACCTTGCTGATCGCCTGAGGAGTGCGGGTATTGAATTCATTATTGAACCTCATCTTCGCTTTGAAGGACAGCCTGGAGAGCAGTACACCATGTTTTTCAAGGCAAGTCTGCTCGATCCATTACATGTAGTTGCTTTCTCCTGCAGCAGCAATCCCTTGTCTCACCTTCTCAACCTCGTCGTAACGGTACTTCCATGCAGGACCCAAGCGGAAACAACCTGGAATTCAAAGCAATGACCAAACCAGAAAACCTCTTCGCCAAATACAATGTGGTTGACAAGTGAGGGAAAACCCTTGGAAGGACAAAGAGCACGAGAAGGACTATTTGAGAGAATCCCAATTCATCCTACGGAGGTGCCGGTACGGTAGCCACTAGAACGCAAAACTCTAAGAAAAAGGTCATTAGCTAATGGCGGAGTTCGCCTGCTGCCGGAATCAGTCAAACTTCTACTGAAAGTTTCATGCAATTCCTATGAGGGCATCCTCCACGAGTTCAGGGACAGGAGCTTCCTCGGCAGGAGGATTGCTGGTTCCATTCATTTTAGCTTGCTTGGCAGCTTCCGCCGCCTTTGCGGCAGCTTCAGCCGCCTTCACACCTGCTTGTTCTTCAAGCAGCATATTGAGCTGGCTGCGATACATTTCTTTGACTTCTAAGATGTCTTCCTGAAGACCACGAATCTCCAATTCCTTCTCATTGTTGTCCGCCATCAATTCCTTAACCTTTGCTTCAAGCAGCGGAATTTTCTCCTTGGCACCGCGGCATTCCCCGAGATCAACCATCAGACTTTCTCGAGTCTTCTCGGATTCCTCTAGGCGATTTCGCAAGGTAGTGAGCTCCTTCTTGGTCGATTTGAGATTCTGTGTCAGCTGTTCCAACGCAGCATAGCTGCTTCCAGTGGAGGTTTGATGGTGTAGTTCGGGCTTTGGTACATCCTCATCATCTTCAGACAAATTGTCGTCAGTGTCGTCGCCACCAAGTCCAAGAAGTGCGCTTTCCAAAATATCCGCCTGGCCTTCTGACTGCTTCAACTTGACTGGCTTCGCCGACTCATGGTTTGCATCGGGAATAATCATCATCGCAGCGCTATCCAAAAGCTGATCTACTTGTGCTTCCAGTTGAGTGCGCTTTTCCGTCTCAACCCGAAGTTTCTTCTGCTCAAGAAGGAGTTCCTCTTTCATCGAGTCGATCTGGGAACGATACCGATCTTCGCTTTCCAGCACTGCTTGACTCATTTCACTCCTTACCTTCGTGACGCCCTCGTTGGCCATTTTTTCCACCCTTTCGTACTCCTCTCTCCGTTTCTCGTGCTCCGCTAACATGCTTTGCAGCTTTTCTTCGAGACGAGCAATCTTCGTTGTGAGCTCATCGATGGTGTTTTGCCGTTCCTCAAGATCATGCTGTTGTTCCTTGGTCAGTCGGTCGAGGCGATTGTGCTTTGTCTTTATCTCAGTGTGCTCCTTTGTCAACTTTTCATTTCGAATGACTGTTTCTTCGAGCTCGGCTCTTAGCTTGGTTTCCAGCTCTGCAGCAGCTGACGCACGAGCTCGCTGTTGACGCTCCATACTTTCGAGCTGACGAAGCAGAGGCGCCGTGCTGGATTGAACATCCATACTCGATGCTGAATAATGAATGGAGGCATTGCGGGCAATTCCGTCGGAATGAGTCAATGATAAAACAAAAAAGAGAGTGCAATCGAACTCAGACAATTAATTAAGCACTTACCATCAGCCCTTCTCACAGCATCTTGCCATCGCTTTCGCAGTTCTTCCACTTCGTGACGCAATGCATCTTCTCTCACGGCAGCCTCACGTTCCGTAGTCTGCAGTTTGTTTTCCATATCCGCGACGGCTTCATTGTGCTCTCGTCGCAATTCCGTGACTGCTTTCTGGTTGTCCTGTGTCAATCCTTGTCGCGATTCCTCGGCTTCCTTGGCAAGTTCCTTGTTCCCCGCAACCAGTTGCTTGACAGTCTGCTCCAAAGACATGATTGTGTTGGCCTTGTTGGCAATATCCTCCTTTGCTTTTTGCATTTCATTCTCTAGATACCCAGCCTGTGTTTCTCCTTTCCGAGCCGATGCCAGTTGCTCTTGAGTCGATTTGAGATCGGCTTGCAATGTCTCAATCTTGGCCAATGCCGTGTCCTTGGCCTTGGTTTCATCTTCCAAGTTTTCTTTGAGTGTTCGGGCTTCCCCTCGTGCCGTTCGTACCATTCGTTCCATTTCCGATTGTTTCTTTGCCAACTTTTCTCCTTCTTCACGTAGTTCGGAAATAATCTCGGCCTGTTTGGCGGCATCTTCGGAAAGTGCCGAAGTCGACGCCTGCAATTTGGATTCGGCCGCTTCGCACCGTTCACGTGCTTTGGCCAGTCGTTTTTTGGCTTCTTCCTTGGTATCGGCTGCTTTTTTGACCAATTCAGCCTTGTCTTTTTCGTACATTTGTTGCAGTGTCAAGAGTTGATCGGCTTTGGCCGCCAATTGTGCTTCTCGTTGTGCCAAGTCATTTTGGACTTGTTCCAATCGTTTATTGAGTGCATCGACCTGTGGCGCGCTATTCGAGGCGTCGGTAGAAGAGGCCTGTTGTGGGGCGGCCTCTGGTGGAGCTGGTGGGATTTCTTTGACGGTTTCCTCCACTTTCTTTTCCTCCTTGACTGGGACTGGGGAAGTCGGCTTATCGGCTGGTTCAGACTCTTCCGCCTTTTTCTCGGGTACCAGTGGTTCCTCTTCGTCGTCGTCGTCACCCAAATCAATATCATCCTCTTTCCAGGCACCCTCGGACGGATCCTGCATTTCCATGGTGGCGTCGTTATTCGGTTTGGCGTCGTTATTCGGTTGCTCTTCCTTCTTAGGCTCTTCCACCGGGGGCTCTGGCTCTTTAATGGGAGTCGGTGGCACTGGTTCCTCTTGCGGCATTTGTTGATCCATTTGTTCCTGATCGTTGCTCAGGGATGACAAAATGGTGGAAAATGGGGACATGAAATTGACTTCATTGGACGCCTTGGCAGGAGCAGGAGCAGGTGTTGTGGCCTCTCCCCCTCCTCCTCCAACAAGATTGGCAAATCCTCCCAACCCGAATCCTCCCGAGGATGTTGCCGATGTGGGACTAGTAGGACTGGTAGGTTGATGATTGAATGCCGATTGTGGTGGCTGTTGTGGTTGTGCTTCTGTTTCGGGTGTCTCGGCACTATTGGCTACAGGTGGTTTGCTAATAGCAGGCTTTTCTTCTTCGACTGCCGCTGGGTTGGCCGCTTCATTTTCCTTATTGGGTGCTTCCGTCTCCAATTCTTTGGGTTCTTCGTTCGGGGGTGCTTCTTCCTCGTCATCGTCGTCAAATGCGAAATCATCGTCGTTCCATACACTGGTCCCTTCCTGTTCCCCTCCACTGGGAGATGTGGGCGCAATGATCGGTTTGGTTGCCCCAGGCTCGGCACCCACTGATTCGTTCAGCTGCTGATCAATGGCGGCAGCAGCCTTGGCGGCCTTTTCGACCCACGTATTCCACATGGTGGATTATTGCTGGTTGTAGAGGATAATGGTGATAATAGTACCGGTATCAGTCGAATCTAGTGGACCAGCAAGATTTCTTCCAAGACGGTGCTACCGGTGCCCCTCAGATAGATGATCGCACCCTCCGAGCTCCTGCAAAGGGCTTACAATGGTAGTAATTACAGGCGACAACACTCGAGAGCTTGTCTAAAAGTATGACATAGAATTCCAAAAGCCGCTTTGTCTTTGGTCCTCCTCGAGCATTGCCTCGATCGTCCCGTCGCGTCTGGCTTTTTGGCGGTGCCCAAACCGGCTTCGGATCGCTTGAAGTCTGTCACGTTGGGGACTCATAGTAGCACGCTGAACAAGGAAAGCTCCGATTGTCCACTGAGCAAGTGCCCGAAGATGGACCATGGCCACACACCACACACAATCACCGACGGCACCCACATTCATGCAGATACCGATACCATCATCACAACCATGATGAGCTCTCGTTTAATGTCGTCTGCTCTCACGAGCCTTACCCGTAGAATGGGTGGAGTGAGTCTCTATACTGTCAAAAAGCCGACAACAACCATGATGTCGTCCTCCTACAGCACCCTCGGCGGCTCCCTGACGATTCCATCATCGACAACCACCACTGTCTTGCCCGTCCTGGGATCGTTGAATGCCATGGATGGTCCCTTTTGGCAGGTCAGCCGATCCGTTACGCGTAAAAAGAGACTCGAGAGGAGGCGAAAACGAAAAGAGGCCGCCAGAAAGGAAGCCAAAATGCTAGAAGGACAGGTGTGTATTGGCAGCTTGTCTAGTTGCGAGTGGCTATTAGCTAGCAAGTATCGTGACGGGTTCCACCTTGCAGTGCTTCCTGCTTTCTAAATTTAATTGTTTTATTCTGTAATTGATTTGTGGACAGACACTGGAAGAAACCGAGGAAGTGGCAGCACCCCAGCACGAAGCTTGGGTGGACTTTCAAAAATCCATCTCCGTCAAGGGATTCCAAACGGGTCAAATTACAAAGGCTCGGGTCCGGAAAAAGGGAGAAATTGGTCTCAAACTAAAGGATCATAAACGACGTGAAAAACTGGAAATGAGAATGGCAGCCAAACGTCCAGAGCTGGCCGATGTAAGTGCTATTGGTAGTATTCGATTCCTTACTAATGTTACTGGCACCCATTCCCATCTCATCATCATTGCTGCTTGTACAATGGAATTCGCTAGGTCCGTGGTGGTGAGTTCCCTACCAAACGATATTCCGACGAGGAAACGGAACGTCTCTTGGAGTTGGCGTATGCTGCCATTCCGCCCCGAGCGGGAAAGCGAGGGACCCGCAACCTCAGAAGGCAAAGTCGACGTTGGTTCTTGGTCCGGAAGATTCATCGCAAATACAAACAGCAGAAGATTGCGGCACACTTTCGATTGATGGAAGAACGATCCAAACGAATGCAAGAAATCAAGGCGGTCAAGGCAGAAGCTCCCGACACGCGGGCTCGTGATCGAGCGTATCAACGACAAGTCTTACAACGATGGATGAAGGACCTGAAATCCCATCAGGGTGGGTTTGAGCAGGTGATTCAAGCCGAAGCAACTGTCATTGAAGATAAATCGTAATAGGTTATACTCTTAGTTAGTTGTACGGTATGAGTTAGTTCACGTACTATTGTTCGTAATCGCGGCGACTATCTCGTTTATCGGGGTGTGGAGCACAATAGCACTCCTGAGAGCTTGGAGGAACACGGTTTTTCCTTGTCAACCCCGTACATTCAGGCTGTCAAATTTCTTCGCTAGCTAGCTGGGTAGGTGTCTTCGCCTTCATCAAGGGTAACACCGCAACACAAGTCTCCTTCCAACCTCATCTCCATCCTTTATTCCGAGCACAGCCCCCCACCTGCCTTTTCAGTATCAAGCAAGTTCTGGCTAGAATGTCTTCGGAAGCCAGTACCAGGTACCAATGAAATGCAAGCACCCAACCCTGCAAGCAATTCTCGTCCTATGGGACCATCATGATGTGTGGATGAACATGATTCGATTCGATTCTCCAATTTCTGGGAATGGGGCAGGATGCCTGTGTGGGAGCTGTCAACAAAAAACTCAATCAGCTAGCTATGATACATGGATTATTTTGATTTTGTGCAGAACCTTAATCTGGTCAAGAAGTTGAATGGGTTTTGGCTTCAAGACTTCCTCAGCAACCAGCAAAGATACATTATAGTGTTACTGAATGGTCGAGATTGTGCCCCACCCTAGCCAGTAGCCAGCTATGTGAACAGCAAGAGTCCTCGGTTGGCAGAGGATTTCTCCATGCTTGGCTTGAATGGTTACTCCCAATTCTGTTTCATGTTCTGTTCTGTAGTTAATGATTCAGTAAATTTGACTCTGCAATCACCAGTGATGGTTGGTGGCAGTTCGGGATGGGCTGCTGGGAGGGAACACATTGGCATTGTCTACTTTTGATTGAATCAGTCAAATTGTGACCTTAACATAAATGATGTTGATATACTAGTAGTCCCCTTCATCACGAGACCCAGGGCAGTCATTGTCACGTAGCCACTGGATCACTTCGCTATTGTTGCTTCCTATCGCAGCTGGAAATGTCAATACCTCATCCCATGGGCAACCATTTTCACGAGCCCATTTTAAAATTTCCAAATGTCCATTTCGAGCAGCACAGGTACATGTCCATTCATTCCAAGGACAACCATTGTCACGAGCCCACCTCAAAAGTTTCATGTGACCATATCGGGCAGCAGAGGCACATGTCCGTTCATCCCATGGGCAACCATTCTCTCTTAACCATTGGAGCATTCCCAGAAGTCCATATTCAGCAGCCAAAGCACATGTCAGCACACTCCATGAACAACCATTCGCATGAGCCCACTTTAAGACTGCCATGTGGCCAAAACCAGCAGCAAAGGTACATGTCCGTGCATCCCAAGGACAACCTTTTTCACGAGCCCACCTCAAAAGTTTCAAATGACCATTTCGGGCAGCAGAGGCACATGTCTGTCCATCCCATGGACAACCGTTCTCTCTTAACCATTGGAAACGCATTTCAAAATGTCCATTCTTAGCAGCCAAAGCACATGTCAGCTCACTCCATGGGAATCGTTTTTGCCGTGCCCACAGCATGACAGTCGGATTTCCAACATTGGCAATTGCATTGCAAACATGATCACGATCAGGTGTTCTGTTGCTGGAATTGTCCTTGAGCCAGTATTCTGCGCGGAGCTTGTTACAGAATGTTTGGCTGTAAAGAGTATCAGTGATTTCTGCAGAGCGACTGGCAATTTCCGGGTTATCTTTTACCTTTCTTGGATTTTTCTCGAGCTCAATCTTGCAGTACTCTTTGTACACCATGTTCATCTTCTTGTTCACAGCCCCCACGAAAGCGTAGTGTCCAACTCCAACAAACGGTAGAATCTGGCCAATCCAAATCAAATCGTCAGCAAACAGAAGACGAGACTCGGTAGTACTGTTACCTTCATCATTAGTAGCAGTGGCAGTATTCATGGTGCGCTGTTGTGGTTGTGGTTGTGGTGGTGGTGGTGGTGGTGGTGGTGTTTGCAATAGTAAAAGATCCAGAAGTCTCTCAGGACTTGAGATTATGATGAAAAACACTCCTTTCCGGAGGCCCGAACAAAGATCCAATGCGGAGAACGCAGAAACCCACCTATCTAATCCGGTTGAGCTGTATGACTAACCGTATACTACCGATACGGAAGGTCTATGCATCCAGGTTGTAAGCCTCCGCTCCAAGTTACCAGTAGGTGCCAGGAAAGGCAATGGCTATGCATACATGAAGCACAGACAGACCTACTTCCAATCAACCCCCCACCGGCCGCAGACCCACATGACGGATACCGGCACCGTAGATAGAATCCCCCTTTGCAGAGCCTGTGAAAGTGGACTGAGACGAGTCGAGTCCACATGCAATTAAAAGGCTGCAGCTGAGCACCGCAGACCCAGAAATGGGCCGAGGAGAACGCATTGACGCCGGCAAAAACCCTTCGTTTGTCCGTCAACTCAACTCGTAATCAATTCGGATAAAATAAAATCTCTATTGTTGGTTTACGGTGATTTATAGCTTCCCACTACGGGGCCGCTTGTGTGCGTGTTTTTGTGTGTCTCTCTCTAACAGGAACGAACATCCTCCGTCAAGCGAGCGTAGGTGCGTTCGGCCTCTTCAAACAAGGCTTCGTGTGTCGAGCGGCCGGTGGCACGGGCCTTTTCCAAGCTGCCCAACACCGACTCGTTAACGATTTGCTTCTTGGCAAGATCGGAATGTTCGCCCAACAAGCCAAGACACCGAATGGCCAGTGCAGCTTCGTGAGCAGATGCCAGGCGAGTCCCTTGCACCACCGCTGGGGGACGAATGGCTCCCGCCAAGTCCTCGAGCAAGGCGGCGACGAAGGATCGGTCGACCAAATGGGAAGACTGCACATCCAAAATGGATTTCAGCAGCGACGGCTGCTGCTGAGCAACCAATGCCAACGCATTGGTAAAGACTCTTAGACAGAGCGCTCTCATAATGCCGCCGTGGTGTTCGTCGCCGCTGGCTCCGGCCCATGCCGACGTATTCGCGTTCTGTCCTTCCCCTTCCTTGTCGCCGCACTTGATGAGGAGGCTGCTTTGGGTGCAACTTCCTGGGGGCGTGACGCCGTCTTCTTCGCTAATCTCATTCGGCATGACACGATCCTGCAAGAGTTTGACAACCCAATCATGGTGCAATTCATTGAGAAACTTTTCTTCGCCTGTGCCTCCTGTAATGGGGGAGCCCAGGATAGCCAGACTGCAGTGCAAAGCGGTATCCAAGCCGGAGGATTCAGGATCGGTCAAGGAGACCAGACTTTCCATGGCCAATTGTTGTGGTCCCAATCGATCTTTGCGCAGCAACAAAGTTGCGCGTTCGAGAGCTTCCAAGGCGGTCGAGGAGTGGGCGCCGCCCGATGTTTTGGGTTTTTTGTGGGGTGCCAAGAGTTTCATGCCGTTCTTGCGCTTGTGGGGAGGCAATGGCAGGAGACGCGGGAATTCATTGCTGGCGGTTTGGTAGGGTTTTCGAGTATCCGCGCCCGTGCTGTGGCTGAGGGCAGCTTGCAAGACGGCTCGAGAACACCGATGAAAGGAAATGCAATTTCCGCGGAGCCTCATGGTTTCCACAAGGACGCCGTGGTTAAAGTCGGGCCTGGATTCCATATCCATTCCATGACGGGGGTGATGTCTGGAGGATCCCTGGAACAGCCGAATGACGAAATGACACCGATCCACCGTCATGCAAGTGGCAGTCACCTGAAAGCCAAAAGAAAATGAAAGACAATATGAGAGGATGATTCAAAAGGAGCGTAAAATACAGCGGACCATATTGTATTCTTTGTACGTACAGCTTCTTCATCGTATTCTACAGAGACGCTTCGTTTGCGCAAGCATTCGGCAATGCGCACAGCCACCACTGAAGGAGGGGCATCACTGACAAAGACGGTGCATTTGGGGTCCAAAGGTGGGTAGAAATAGGGCACTGGCTTCAAAGAGGTGTCATTAACCTTCCAAAGACGACGAGGCCTTGGAGGAGCTACCTGACCATCGTCTTCAAAATTGGCAGGTAGACTCAGACCGGCCAATAGACTCGGGCGTCCCGTGCCTGTGGTGCTAGAGGAAGAAGACTCGCGGTGGATAATATTGGTGGGGCGAGCCAAGGAAGAAGAGCCACTGGAGGCATCGGGGTCTGGGGATACTTGTCGAGAGGACATGTTGTCTGTGATTGTTGCTTTTTGTGTTCTATGAACAGATTGCTGTTGAGTATTGATTGCTGTCTTTGGCTTTTTGTGAGAAAAAGTCGTTCAAGTCTCAAGCTTTGGTCGAACCGTTGGAGTAAGTCACAGTGCTTTGTAGTGTATGTGCCAGTCGGTCCAATTTTTAGAGGGAAGAGTTGAACCAAGTCCCAGACAGGCTTATCCTTGGATGTGTGTTGTCGCCTCGGGCAGTCAAGTTAAAGCAGTGGAGCAACAATCCCACGGAAGGAGCTTGGTTACCGAAAAGCTTCTGGAACGTTTCGCACAACGTAAAATGCGGGCCACGAATGAGAGGTTCCGAGAGAGGAAAGGGTTGCCGGCAGTGTAGACAAAGGAAACTAGCAACAGCTTCGGCACCACATGTAATTGTGGCTTGTTTGGGGGAAGGCTGCAAGGCGAAGAGTTTGATGTCGCCTTCTATCACTTCGAAGAAAAGGGTGTGTGGCTCCGACGGCCACGACTGAGTGCACCTGCTTGAACAAAGTTGGCCGGAGGCAAAGATTTAATGTTGAAGAAACAGGACTCAATTTGGTACAGAAAAGTTACGATCAAGGTTTAGGTAATTAATGATCCGAACCCCCACACGGTTGCAAGCGAGGTGAGCTGTGAGGCCAAAAGTCTAAATCAGATCGGATCTTGCCGTCTACGGCGTCTAAGTTTGGGCATTGTTTAGGCGGAAGCATGCCAGTGGGAATGAACGCAGACTAGAAAATGAGCTGGTTGTTCGCTTACCTACCTTTGCTGATTCGATTCGGACAAATTACTTCGCTTCCTTTGTCGGAGACTCGACTCCTGCGGCGAACGGACCGATGAGCGACAGTCAGTCTGGTGTGGCTCATAGCAAACGATAGTACCACCAATGACCCAGGTACCACCAATGCCAACGCTACTGGTAGACTCTAAAAAAAAAACTGAACGTCTAATAACGGATTCAGTTTAGATCTACATGTAGCTGGGGAAGTAGAATTGATCCAGGTACGGTACCGGTAGCTTACTGGAGCATTGTATTATTGGTACCGGTACCGTTGATTGTCAAAAGTCGTCGCCGACAACCAGCAAAGGTCCCCGCACCGGATACCTTTCATTCGTACCAGTAGTAGCTCTATGACCCGCGGGATGTTGTGTGTGGTAGCCAACACGACGAAACGCAACAGAAACCTCTCAACTGCGGTACCAAGCACGGACCCAATGATTAATCGAATCACCCAACTACCAGGTAGCAGAACGAGCGATGAAGGTGTCGATCATGCTTTCTCGAAGGCGTCAGGGGTATCCTACGGTGTCTGTGTCTGGGCTGGTACTAGATTCAATCATCATTCGATACGTTCACCGGGTTTCTACTGATACCAAATTATAAATCTTTAGGCCAGCAGTAACGCTACCGGTACTGATCGCTCGCAGGGGTTTCCATTTAGAATCAAGAGCTTCCACGCCGCATTCAAAAGAGGGTTTAGTCTGCTTCGTTTCTAGCTACTAGTTAGCTAGTAGAAGGGATTACTTTAGAATGCTTTACTTTGTTTTGTGTAGGTTTGCGGCTGCTGCGGATGGCGTACTACTGCTGCTGGCTGTGAGGGGCGGCTGTTGCTGTTGTTGCGGCACAAACCCAGATGCCGCCAAGGCTGCCGCCCGCACCGTGGTGCCAATGCCCATGCATTTATCCAAGTGGGGTGCAAACCGCAGTGCATTGACTTGTCGTCCGCAAATGAGACAATCCATCATTTCTTTTGGTTCTTTGGGATTGCAGCGTCCCCAAATGTCCAAATGAGCTGTATTCTTGGGTGGTTGCGTTGTTTTGGACACTGTGGAAGCAGCCGGTTGTGGTGCTGGTGGCGCCATAGTGCTGCTGCTTGTAATGGCAGATGGCACTTGTCCCGGCATGGTGGCACTACTGGGGACTTGTGGCAGTACTGGTGGTGATTTCGATGTGGCTCCATCAGGTAATTGGTTAGGCTGCTGTGAGCTGCCAGTGGTTGTGTTTGTTGCATCTTTGTCTGGATTTTGTTCTTTGCTTTTCATGTCCACATCTTTTGGTTCTTGGGTGGTCGAATCCAAATTTTTGTTATTGCTAGTATTAGCAGAAGAAGAATTTTTTCGAATGTATACTTCATAGGGCTCTTCGTGTGGTGGATCGGCCAATCGTCGGCGTTTGCGGGGCTCCGAGGCATTCGCATAGTACGCTTGTCCAGCTTCTTGGACCTGTTCTTCATTGCTATACAAGGTAGGATAGAGCTCTCGCCGATTCCGAAGATAGAGTTCGGACGAAGGATACTGGCCTGTCTTGATCAGCCGATGGACATCACAGGCAACACTAACCGATAAACTCGTAATCAGCTTGTCATACACCAAGTCCAACACCATGGGGTAGGTGCTAGTTTCTGAGGATGCCGTTCTGTTGTTGCTGATTGAAGCAGCTGATGCGTTGCTTCTGGCAGCTTCTTCAGTCTCGGTGGATTTGTCATTGGTTGGCTCTGACATGCTAAAAAGTAGCTAGATAGATAGTTGGACGTTGATGATTTGACTTGCCGTTGCTTGTGTTCGGTCTTCGCGGCCAAGGATGTTGGATGGATGTTTCTGTGTCGTTGGCCTTGCTTCGGCTGCTCGGCTGCGCCATGTCGTTTCAGCTTTACAATTACCTCAACTACGCTTTGAAAGGGAGGCTGGGGAGAATTAGAAAAGATCGCCAAAAATCACAGATCTTTTTGTTCTTTTTGTTTGTTGTCTCTTCTTCGTCGTCGTATCTACGCCAACAAATAACACCATCCTCTCATCACCTTGTAACATTCAAGCCAAGTCAGCTGCTGCGACGGTCCACCACTCTATCTGCTTTTAAGCTTGAAGTCTCCATTCAACCAGCCAAGTCGAAAAAGTAAGGATCCACACTTGACAACCGAAGCAAGCAAGCACGACTGATAGATTCCATCATGGGAAATGCTCAGCCAACCAACAAGACGGGGAGAAAGGTAGTATCCAAGAAGTTGGAAAATGCGGGTAAAACAAATATCCTGTCACTGAGAGAACATGGGCTGGATGAGATTCCTGTTCAGGTCTTTGAGTAAGTACTGTACAATCATCCAGTTGCATTGTACGGCATTGGCATTTTTAATTACAACTCTCTTAAATCCACTTACATTTTTCTTCGTGACTCCAGAATCAAAGGGATGAAGACATTGGATGTTTCTCAAAACAAAATCAAAAACCTGGGCAGTCGTCTGGCAGTCTTGACGGAACTCAAATCACTCAACGTGGATCAAAACTTGTTGGTTCCAGGATCCTTGGCACCTGTTGCAAAATTATCCAAGCTACAGATATTTTCAGCGGGAGGCAACCAGTTGGGAGCTGCCTCATCATCTGCTCCAGCCTTGCCAGCATTGCCCGCTTCCCTCAAACAAATCAAGTTGGATCACAACTCTTTTAGCAGTTTTCCACCGCCCCTTCTCCTTTTGCCCAAACTCGAAAAACTGGACTTGTCCCACAACAATTTGGCGGCCGTGCCATCCGAAATTTCGTCTCTGGTCAATTTGACCGAGCTCAATTTGGATTTTAATGTTGTTGTCAGCCTTCCATCGTCCATGGGACAATTGAAAAAGCTCAAGACGCTTTCGTTGAAGAACAATCAACTCCGTGCCAGCAATACCAACTTTTCCGACAAGAATCCACAACCCATTCCGGCATCCTTGTTTGAAGACACGCCTTTGATTGATTTGAATCTACACAACAATCCCATGACATCCACGACACTCAACGAATTTGAAGGATATGACAAGTTTCTGGCACGACGAGAAAAGATCAAGACCAAAGATATTTACGGTGGTGCTTTGACCAATTTGGATGTCTGTGGATTGAAGTAGTAGAGTATAAGTGAGAATGGCAAATTGAGGTGGCGGCCTTGAACATGGGAGTGGACTGTCGCTCACAACGGAATATTAGAAAAGACATGTGGATATTGGTTTGAGTTGCGAACTACCAGACCCAGAAATTAAAGAGATTTTACGTGTTGGTGTGTCATTTATCAGGCACGCGACTTGTATTTTGGAGTACCACCTCAGAATGATAACGACCTGCATGTAGCTAGCTAGGCATTGAGCAAACGATTGTCAACCGGCCCACGGATGAACCAGCGCAAGCTCCCCGTGCAACACCGGATGCTCAATCGTACTAATAGAAATCCAATAACTGATGTTGTTTCTGCTGGCCAACTCGACGAAACGCAACAGAATCGCGTTGCTCTGTTTTAAGACCTACCAGGCCAACTAATGGGTGGTCCTCTCGTGTCGATGTCGCATGTTGTTGGCATGTTAGCCCACAAAATGTTGCCAAGATAAGGGACCTACCTGTTGGCTTCCAACGGTACTACAGGTTCTTCCACCTGGCCTACTGAATCCAATCGGTACGACTGTAGCAACGCCGAGGGTAGTTCGCAGCATTCTATTTTTATTCTTTGTGAATATTATACTTATCATGAACAAGAAGAAGGAAGGGGACAACACACCCGTATATCCCGGTCAAAATACATGAAACCATTGATGATTGATTGATGCCGAGTGGAATGCTGTGATCACGCGTTGGTGTGCACTGAGAGCCGTAGAGTGAAGATTGTTTTTCTGCTGCCGAAATCCAAATATCCATTTCAAAGGGACTATCAATTCTGTGGAATTATACACCCCAATTGCCATGGCCGCCGTCTCCCTCGGGTTTGTCTTCAGCATCTGCTTCTCCGTCGCCGCCATCTGCTTCTCCGTCGCCGCCATCTGCTTCTCCGTCGCCGCCAGCTTCGTCTCCTGTAGTTTCGTCTACACCGCCTTCTTCGCCCTCTGTGGCGTCAGCTTCGTTCGCCTCTTCAGTGGTATTATCCGCTATCTGATCATCTGTTTCACCGGCGCTGTCATCTGTATCGGCAGCAGTGTCACCCTCGTCAGCAGCAGCAGAATTTGCCAAGGGTTGGTTGCTGTAGCCCGAAGGAGCGCCAAAGCTGTTTCCTCCCATTGGTTGCTGTGGTTGTTGCTGTTGGTAACTATTATTGGAACCTCCTCCCATACCATTTCCAGCAGAATATCCAGAAGGCTTGGCCGCACCCCCACTTCCAGCACCTCCTATGGGGTTGTATGGCTGCTGAGGATTGTAGGAATTGTATGGTTGTTGTTGTTGTTGGGTATTATAGCCCTGTTGTGGATTGTATGGTTGTTGCTGGTTGAACGGTTGTTGTTGAGGATTATACGGTTGTTGCGGGTTGAACTGTTGCTGGGGATTGTACGGTTGTTGTTGCGGATTATAACCTGGATTGTATGGTTGTTGCGGATTGAAACCTTGTTGTGGGGCGTACCCTTGTTGAGGATTGTACGGCTGTTGTTGGTTGTATGGTTGTTGCTGGAATCCACCTTGTGGAGCGCCAAATCCTTGCTGCCCAAAACCGGGTGGCGGTGCTCCTCCTGGAACGACGGGCGCGGATTGTGCAATTTCGACATCACCATCCATGATTTTCAACTGTATGGGCCGTCCCAATCGCTCGGATAATGTTTTTTCCATAATGGATTTTTCCAACTGCGCCGCCCGTTCTTGCAAATGCTGTTGAATGCTAATGGCGGCATTATCGACTCCTTGTCTTACTTGGACCAACTCGTCGGGGGTCTCCAAGGCGACCTGCTCTTCAATTTCTCCCGCAGCTTCCCCCGTTTCTTCTCCAGCGTCTACAACAGTATCAATCTTTTCTTCTGCTTCCAGGGCAATATCATCGGCTCGTTCCTGCAGTTCGATATTGGTGGCATTTTTGAGGGCTTCTTGGACCTCTTCCGTCAATTCTTCGACATCTTCCTTTGTGGCGTCTTCTCCCAGCAATTTGGTGATACTGCTCTTGATGACACTATTCATGTTCTTGATTGCTTTTCCTAGCAATCCATTTTCGGCCTTTTCGATTTCTTCTTGTTCGGCATCTTCAATGGCTCCCTTGGCTACTTCCAACGTTTCTTCTAGATTTTGTGCTTCGTCGGCTTTGGTGTACGTTTTATCGTTTCCATCGTACCACGAATCCCCTTGATCCCCACGAACGCCACTGTCCATGCCTCCGCCACTTCCAGGAGGAATGGAGGGACGTTCGCCGATGGGTTTGGGTGATGCCGTCTTGGTATGATGCTGTCCCATGGCTTGTCCACTGCGTAGATTGGCGGTACTAGTAGCTTCTTGTTCCGCTCCTCCCATGGATAAAAAGAAGATTACCATGACAATGCCCATGATACCAAGACATACTTTCGCAAGGGGAGTGCTACTGCAGGTCAGGTGGAAAAACCAGAACACAAAAGACAAAAAGACAAAAATGAGGAAAAATCACTCAAAAACAAAAATCACTAGGGTAACCTCTTCTGACTCGACTCGACTCACCCTTTGCTGCCCTTGGGCGACATGGCGTGGCTGACAGATTTTACCCTCGCCATTGTCGAGTTGCTCTTTTGTCTATTTTTGTTTTGTTTTTGGATGCTACCGCGATCGATTTTGTGTTGCTTGGTTGCAACCTTCCGCTTGGCCCAGGTCTTAGCTTGTTGGTCAGTTGGGGTCGTGGGAGTGACCCAGATTTGGTCATAATGACTCTCCAAAATGACACAAGTAAGCTCGAACCTTATTTCATAACGTTGGCTGGCTCGCACCTCAATGCAAACCGTTGGATCTTTTCTGCTGGCCTTCTCTCGCTAATTTCACGACAGAGGTGAAGGTGCTGACAATGACCATAGCGGTAGTCCTCAGTATACCTGTTGATTGAAATAACTTCTTCCAGCCTCGTCGTCTTTCGTGAACAACAGTTCGCAACAGCAAGGCCATAGCTATACTAGTTCCCTTGGTGGGTATACGGCGGAAAGTCTTAAGACCTCAAGAAGGAAGGAATTATCCCAAGGGTATCATTGCCATAATAATTTTCGCACAATGACGATACTAATACGGCCATCCAAGAATCACCACTGCTTTTGGGCGGTTGTCATTGGGATCCTCCTGGCCCTGGCAGGCACAAATGGAGATCGGGTTGGTTTGGAAAATGCAGTCTCCCAAAAAGCGGCTGATGAGTCAATTGTTCTGGATGATACTAAAGACAAAAGAAAGGCAGTCACTCAACTAAGACACGACAATTCAAATGTTGATGATACTAATAATAGAAATGTGGCCCACAGAATACTCGATAATGAGGGCGGCGATGGTGATGGAGAAGATGGTGATGGTGGAGAAGATGGCGGAGATGGTGATGGCGGAGAAGACGGAGGAGATGGTGATGGCGACGGCGATGGCGAAGGAAATGAGGATGGAGGGGACGGAGAAACTGAAGAAGGAGGAGATGGCGATGGGGGAGACGGAGACACCGAAGAAGAAGGAACTAAGGATGAGGTGATGGTGATGGTGGGGAGGAAGGAGGTGATGGCGACGGAGAGGATGGTGATGGTGGCGAGGATGGAGGAGATGGAGATGGTGGGGAGGATGGAGGAGAGATGGTGGCGAGGATGGAGGAGATGGAGATGGTGGCGAGGACGGTGATGGAGGTGAAAAGGGCACCGAAGCAAATGCAGATGGAGGAGGAACTGTAGATGGAAAAAACGGCAAAGACACCACCAAAGCAGAAACAAAAGCCAACAAGGACACAACAGAAAAAGACAACAACGCTGACTCAGAAACAACCGCTGGTGCTGAAGAAAAAGGAGAAGGAAACGTGGCTGACGAAGTAGATGAAGGAAACGGTGACGAGGACAATGAAGGTGAAGATCAGGGAGACAAGGAAGAAGCTTCCAAAATCGACCATGACAGCGATGGTGGTGCCGAAACTGAACCCTCGGAAAAAGGGGGAGAAACTGCAGAGCCTGGTGGTACGGATGACGATGACGAATCTGGCGGAAAAGGCATGCTTGGACTTGGTTTTGTTGTTCTAGTTGGCGTCGCTGTCTATTTCAAGTTCGTTCGAAAGGGAGGTTCCTCGGCCGCAATGCCTGGTTCAGCACACAGACCCAGCACCCGATCCAAATATCAAGAAGTGTAAGTAGTGATGTCGGCAATGCGGTGGTGTTCATGACTGTTTCCTTGAATTCCTACTGACAATTTGGTTTCATGTCATATCAGTGCTACCATGGAGGAAGACGACGGCGACGATTGGGGGTGGGGCGACAATAACGACGACGTGGGCGACGTGGAATTGGCTTCGTCCGATGCGTCTGTCGATATGCCGATACCGTCTCCATCTGGATTGGCACTCAAACAACGATCACCATCCATAGAAAAGAAAGAAGTTGTATCGTTCGGTCGGCACAATAATAAAATACCCTCTCCCCGACAACAGGCAAAGTCACCACTACAACAATCATCATCATTCCAATCGTCGCAAGCAGCACCCGCATCAGCACCCTCACAATATCAGGTTCCAACGCAACGCATCACGCAATTGGGTGTCCCCAACTTGGGCACCACGACCAAGAAAACGCCGTCCCGTCCCAAGAAACAAGAAGACGACATTTTTGCTTCCATGGGTCTTTCCGCGCAACCCAAATTTCAACAACCCGCGAAACCTGCCGTGCGACCTCCATCGAGTGGTGGTTGGGGAGGCGCCTTGGCAGTGCCTTCTGCTTCTACAGGAGAGGTCTGGGATGATGATGGTGACCTGGACGACCTGCTGGATGATTAAATTCAAAATGATTTTGAGATGGGTCGAGAGAGACGATTGTGTGGTCGGTATACAGACAGCACAACGACAGGACTGAAAAACATACATGCATGAAACACTATCATCAATCATTTATTCATTCTAGAGAAGAAGTAAACACACTGGTGAAAGATACACTATTATTTCAAGGAATCTCTCATCTCTTCACGACTACAAGCATAAGGGACATGTTGTACTGTGTAGTAATAAGCCTTGAACATTCGATTATGTAGAGCTGAGAAGTAACTGTATACCGTACCTGGTGTAGCTAGACTACAAGGCGACAATTTACCTGCAAACACAGCTAGCAAGGATACCGGTAGCAGGGAAACTCAAGATGTATGTTGGCAAAAAAGGACCTGAAGAAATGGCTCTAAACTGGCATCTTTTCCTCTGGATTTGCATGATTTCGTTGTCTATTTCTCATCAAATCGTACTAATTTTTCCTCAAACCTCCCAGTCCAATTCCACGTTCAACAACTGTTGCAATTCCTCCTGGAGGCTCTTGTGCAATGTGATTTCGTCATCTCGAGTAAATACCCACGTGTCGTCCTTGTATTCGTACCGTCGTGGTCCCGAAATGGGAGACGACCACCATATTTGTTGATTGGGCGTTTGTTTGTTGAGTACGTAGGTGCCGTGATTATCCGGCAATGCAATGGTCAAGACGCCCGATGCCAACGATACTTCCGCCTCGATACCGCCATCTTCCAATGTCTCTTCGACCACGTCTTGAATAGTTTCCAACGTATCATCGGCTACTCTGTGATACTCTCCTTCGCTTTGGAAATTGCGATACTGGATGGTAGGGATAGTAGCAATAGTATTGCTGGAAGGAGGGACCACCAACAGTGGACGTCTTGATACAGCTGTGACGACGCTCCGAGATGATATCGGAGACGCTACCCCTTGAATTGGAACAATCAGGCTAATAGGTCTCAATGCCGACTTATGACTGGGCCGATACAACCGCCCAAGGCACCATCGTCTGGGGAGAGATCGTAGCGTCGTGGTATTCATTGCTGTCAGAGATGGGACCAAGGGCTGTTATTGATCTCCACACTTCACAACCTCGGTCTCTCGCTTGCTAGCTAGATAGTCAGGGTGAGTTTGCAAAAGGATCTATCTTTCCTCAAATTCCATTTTTGCGGATCCTCACAATTCCAATTTTCAATTTCCGATTCCTCACAATTTAAACTTTCCGATTCCTCACAATTCCATTTTTTGAAATCCAATTTCTCACAATTCAAATTTTTACGATTTCTCACGATTTCAATTTTCGAATCCGGTTTCTCGAAATTCCAATTTTGTCCATTCCTCACAATTCCAATTTTCAAATCCTGTTTCTCACAATTCCAATTTTGCCGATTCCACGCAATTCCAATTTTGAATTTGATTTCTCACAATTCCAATTCCAATTTTCGAATCTGATTCCTCACTATTCCAATTTTCGAATCTGATTCCTCACAATTCCAATTTGACGATTTCTCACAATTCAATTTTCAACTCTGATTTCTCACAATTCTATTTTTTCAAATTCCGATTTCCTCACAATTATAATTTCAAAATCCGATTTCTCACAATTATAATTTCAAATCGGATTCCTCACAATTCCAATTTTCAAATCTGATTTCTCACAATTCGAATTTTCAAAATTTGATTCCTCACAATTTATTTTTTGAATCTGATTTCTCACAATTACAATTTTCAAATCGATTCCTCACAATTCCAATTTTTCAAATCTTGATTTCTCACAATTCGAATTTTCAAAATTTGATTCCTCACAATTCTATTTTTTGAATCTGATTTCTCACAATTACAATTTTCAAATCTGATTTCTCACAATTACAATTCAAATCTGATTTCACACAATTCTAATTTTGACGATTTCTCACAATTCCAATTTGCTGATTCCTCACAATATTAATTTTGACGATTTCTCACTTCTCACAATTCAAATTTTGCTGATTCCTCACAATTCAAATTTTCAAAATTCAATTTCTCACAAATCAAATTTACAAATCTAATTTCTCACAATTCAAATTTTGCGGATTCCTCACAATTCCAATTCGACTCGACTCGACTCGACTTGACTCGACTCGAGTGCATGGATGTTGTCCGCCATACCGGTAGCATGGTCAACTTCCGAGAGATCGCCAAGCCATGCCATGGTGGTCAACTAACTATTGAAACGGTACCAAGGTAGTCTACCATAGCTGAGTTGTTGGTACGATACTAGTACTCGAGCTTGTGTTTTTCCGCTATGAACGCTATTTCTGCTACTAATCATAAAGGTACTGCCCAGTCTCCTCTTCTGTTTGCTGACGATTTGATTTGGTATGGCCAAATTCTACCGTTTGTTGGAGTTGGGCAGTACACTTTCGTGGGGGCTGTGAACAAGAAGATGAACATGGTGTACAAAGAGTACTGCAAACTTGAACTCAAGAAAAATCCAAGAAAGGTACAACATATCCCTGGACAGTTTGTTCCCGGTCGCTCTGCAAAAAGCACTGATACTCTTTTCAGCGAAGCATTTTCTAACCAGCCCCGTGCAGAGTACTGGTTCAAGGACAATTCCACCAATAAGACACCTTATCGTGATGATGTTTGCAATGTCATTGCCAAAATTGGAAATATTTTAGTCATGAAATGGGCACGGCAGCAAGGTTTCCCATGGAATGAACAGACATGTTCCTACGCTGCTGACAATGGGCAAATGAAAATGCTCCAATGGTTAAGAGAGAATGGTTGTGAATGGAATGATCACGTGTGTCAATCCGCTGCTGCAAATGGTTATTTGGAAATTCTGAAGTGGGCTCGTGCAAATGGTTGTCCATGGAATGAGCAGACATGTTCCTATGCTGCGCTAAATGGACATTTGGAAATTTTGAAGTGGGCTCGTGAAAATGGTTGTCCATGGGAGGAAGATACATGTGCATGTGCTGCTCGAAGTGGCCATTTGGAAATTCTCCAATGGTCAAGAGAGAATGCTTGTCCATGGGATGAAGATACATGTTCCTGTGCTGCTGAAGGTGGTCATTTGGAAACTTTGAAGTGGGCGCGTGTCAATGGTTGTCCATGGGATGCAGATACATATCGAGATGCCTGCATGTATAAAAAAAGGGAAGTGATCCAGTGGCTACGCGACTATAACTGCCCTGGGTCTCATGATGAAGGACCCTAACAGCATTTATGGTAAGGTTAGAAATTGGAATCAAAGTAGACAATTGCCCTCCCTATCTTAGCTAGCTAGCTATTGGCTTGGCGTGATCCGCCTCGGTCAACCTTTGAGAGACTGTGGTCAAGGATTACGTGGGTCTGGGGATTACATTTTACGGTAGCAACGATTCCAATCTGTTTGCCTAGTAGCTCTCCACGAGGAATGTGATCTTGCTGATCTAGCTAGTAGCTTCTACTCGTACTAAGGAAACTGTACCTATACTGTAGCTGGGTTCTTGGTACCTACCGTACTGTTATTTGCTTTTATTGGGGTCGATCCCATTGGGTACCACCCGTCAAAGTATTGAGGTAGAAATATCGTTGCTGTGCGGGATCAAAATGTTCCTCCCAACCCATGGGAAGATTTCCAAGTTGCTGCTGCTGCTGTTGCAATCCAGGTCGCTCCCATTGGGTAGCTCCAGTGGCGGTCTCAACGTAATAAGCTGCATTCTGACCAGGATCAAAATGCTCCTCCCATCCGGGTGGCAGGTCGGTTGCTGTTTGTTGTTGTTGCTGTTGTTGCGGAAATGTGGCCGTGGCTTGTTGCTCTTGTTGTTGTTGGGCACCTCCTCCACCAAAGGAATAGTCATTTTGGCCTCCAAACGATTGTTGTTGCTGTTGTCCTCCAAACGATTGCTGTTGGCCTCCTCCTTGTGGTCGTTCCCATTGGGTATTTCCAGTGGTGGTATCCACATAGTAAGGGGCATTCTGACCAGGATCAAAATGTTCTTCCCAACCAAATGGAAGGCCATTGGCTGCTGCTGTTTGTTGTGGATTGCTGTCCATCACTTGTGGCTGACCCGACGGAATCACCCATCCTTCCGCTCCCTTGTGGGTTCCACTGGCATCATTTTTCTTTTCCACAATCGTGACATCTTTTTCTCCCTTGACTCCGGGTCTGGCATCGCTGCGTTTGTCTTTTCGATCATCCGTGGCATCAATCATGTTGAAAAAGCCGACTTCTTGTTTACTACTCGATGGATCACCATTTGTCATTTTACCGGTAATGGCCACGGATTCACCGACATGGGTCATGTCGCCATCAAACGAGCGAATGACTTCAAATTCGAATTCACCCATGTCACTTCCTTTTTTACCCGTTTTGAATTTTTTGCAAATGTTCATGGTAAAATCGTCCGTCCCTGGTTTGACTTGCCAATAGCCCGTGGCGGAATCCCAGAGCGGACCGTCCGTGTCACCAATCAAGACGGTTCCATCTTCGCGGAGAAAGAGTTCCGTGGTGGCATTCTCCTTGTCTTCCATTTCTTCCAATTGATAATACTTGTTTTCACAGCGAATACCAAACAATTTAGTAGTAGTAGACTGGATAATAGGTATATAGATAACGGCAAGATGAGGAACAAGGTTGCAATTATTAATATATCATGACGGTGAGATATGGCAGATCACGTACCGGTGGCTTTTTGAGGGGCGAGTAGATGGTAAAGCCAGACACCCCAGAGGAGGCCAACATGGCCAAAGCCAACACGAGCTTTCGAGCAACCAACATCTTGCTTCTTTCTCTATGATAGCAATAACTACAAGCTTTTATTGCTTATACTGGAGTTTAGTTTTCTGCGGTTGTGATCCAAACAATCGCATTTGTGGCAATCGTACGGCACGCCGCCATCACAGCCATCACAAGCAAATCGGAACCCGATGACGAAGAAAGATCCAAGATCGTGTGACGTGGTGTAAGTGACTCCAATTCGTGATTGATCAATCCTTGTCATCTTGTCTTTTTGTCTTTTTGGATGTCCCACAATGACAGTCGATCCCGGCAACACAGCCGTCGTTTGCCGACCGCAATAAAGCACCCAATATAGTTGCTGCTACTACACTATACCACCATGGCATCATCACTCAAGGGAAAGACTACAACGGCAGTCACATCGATTGGCAAGGTCGCCACTTCCACGGCGGGAAAAGTCCAAAAGGCCATGGGAAAAGCCGCAAGTACGACCATTCAAGCCATGAAAAAGACGGCCAGTGGCAAAAATGTCATGGTTGACTCTTCCTGGAGCGACGACGACGAAGAAAGCGAAGAACGAAATATCCAAGGACTATTGACCAATTTGGAAAAGGCGACGCGATATTCCGTGTTGGAATTACGAGGTCTCATGGCCAGCATGACTAGTTCGGTCAATTCACAGGACTTTGGCAAAAGCAGGATGTCCCGACAAGAAGACCGTCTGATGCAAGCCGACTCGGACGAGATGATGGATGATTCCCACGTTGTGAAAAAACTTCAAAGAGCCAGGCACAATTCCATTTTGGAATTACGGGGCATGCTGGCATCCATCAATACCATTAGCGGTTCGATTACCGAAGAAGACATGAAGCGACTGAAAGAGGAATCCAGAGAAGAAGAAAATATACAAGGACTCTTGGCCAACCTGGGAAAAGCCAGCCACAATTCCGCCATGGAGTTACGAGGACTCCTTGCCAGCATGGATTCCAGTGAATTCTTTGAAACTACAACCGAAGAAGACCGAGAAAAAATTGAACAACAATGTCGCGAATCCGTCTCGGAGCTACGGGGACTCTTGGTAGGGCTGGAACGAGTATCTACACAGCAGTCGAGTCGACAAAAGTCATTGAATCGTCTTTGCGAGTCCATTAAAGGGCAACTGCAGCCGCTGGACGAATTGGCAGAACTAAAATAGACTATCCAAACAACTTTACCAGATTCGATGCGCCCCCTTATTGAGCTTACTTTTACATCGTACAATCGTACCGTGTGGTGTTGGAGACAAGCGCAGCGCATCGTATCATTGCAATAATATGTGCAGTTGCTTTTCAGGAGGACTGCAGAATTCGTACCATTGGGGAGCCCAGCTTGGCCGGGATGCTAGAGCCGTGTTGCTGCTGAGGTTGCACGGCATCAGCATCCAAGGTTTCAAACAGTCCAGCTGCTGCAGGCTACATGCCTGGCATCGCATCCATGGCAACTGAGTCGAGTCGAGTCGATGCTTTGACTCCTTGCATACCGGTGCCGTTAAGCTAAGTAGTCATACGGTATGGCAATGCTGTCTCTCTATTCTTGCTTTATGGGAGCTTTCTTGAACAGAATATCATTCAAAAGGGTGGCAATGAATGGAATGCCAAAGGCAACCATGGACGCCACAACCATGGGCCGCCAATCCGTGCCAGACAACAATACCGCTACCGGCCATGGCAAGTACGCCAGACTCTTGGGAAGTCCTTCCTCCTCGTCTGATGATGATAGGGCCACCAGTAGAGCCGATGACAGCCCACTGGCATCGTAGCCGGAAATATTGACCAGCACATTCTGTTCCATTTCTGGGTAGCTCGCCTCCACAAAGTCGCCATACAAAAGGTTGATTCGAACGGCTCTCCAGCACAAGGCCCTATTGGCATCCGTCAAAAATGCTGGCTTCGTGATTAGCCAACAAGCCGACACTAGATTGGCAGCACAAATTCCAGCACAGACCAACACCAGAGTGAGTTCGTCGATTGCCCCCAAACAGCTTGCTTCGCCCAGCTCCATTTCGACCAAAATCAGCGGCAGAAAGAGAGCATGGTACCATCCCACCTTGCTTCCATAGCAACACAAGCACCCCCACAGAAAGGCTCCCAACGATTTATCTGTCATATTGGATGATGGTAACAACTGTACCTGCATTGTAGTCATGGAAACAGAGCATTCAATGGCATATCGCATCAGCGCCGTAATGCTTTGCAAGAGCGGAGCCACGGGAAGGGGCACGGCAGCAATGACAGCACCGACCCCACCCTTCGCCAGTAGATTGGTCATGGTGGCGGGGACATTGTGAATGAGGACACAATGAATGAGGACCGGTTCTTGCCAGCGGGCCACCAGGTATCCTGCCAGCATGCCAGCGAGAAGGGACTGCGACACCACTGTGGATGCCACAACGCTGGCCATGATGCGACTGGACGTATCGACTCCTCCATGATTGGTGGCTGTCGTCGTACTACTACAAGCCGTCACCACAGCACAGGCCGTCGTTCGAGAATCGAAAGGAGCAGAGGGAGGAGTGGTTCGATATTGTTGTTGTCTTCCTGGAATGATGATAGGATTCTCGTGAGCGGATCCATTAAAGGGCAACTGCAGCCGCTGGCCGAATTGGCAGAACTAAAATTAACAATACTCCAAACAACTTCACCTGATTAGGTCAGTCCTCCTACTAAGGGAGTGTTTTGGGGAGGCGTCCCGGAATACTTACTTGTACTATCGTACCATGATGGGGTAAGCACAGCGCGTCGTACCATTGCAATCTGTGCAGCTGCTTTTCAGGAGGACTGCAGATTCGTACCATCTGCCCAGGGAGCAACAGCCGTAGTGCGGCTGAGGTTGCGCCGGTTCAGGATCCAAGGTTACAATCAGTCCAGCTGATGCAGGCTACCGGTACATGTCTGGCACCGTGGCAACTGAGTCGAGGCTTTGATTCTTTGCAAACCGTAAAGCTATGTAGTCAGATGGCAAATGCTGTCTCTCTATTCTTGCTTTATGGGAGCTTTCTTGAACAGAATATCATTCAAAAGGGTGGCAATGAATGGAATGCCAAAAGCAACCACAGACGCCACAAACATGGGCCACCAATCCGTGCCGGACAACCATACCGCCACCGGCCATGGCAAGTATGCCAGACTCTTGGGAACCTCCTCGGGTGATGAAGATCGGGCCACCAGTATAGCCGATGACAGCCCACTGGCAACATAACCAGAAACATTGACCAGCACGTTCTGTTCCATTTCCGGATAGCAGGCCTCCACAAAGTCGCCATACAAAAGATTGATTCGAACGGCTCTCCAGCACAAGGCCCTGTTGGCATCCGTCAACAATGCCGGCTTCTTGATTAGCCAACAAGCCGACACCAGATTGGCCGCGCAAATTCCAGCACAGACCAATACCAGAGTGAGTTCGTCGATTGCTCCCAAAAAGCTTGCTCCCCCCAGCTCCATTTCGACCAAAATCAGTGGCAAAAAGAGAGCATGGTACCATCCCACCTTGCTTCCATAACAACACAAGCACCCCCATAAAAAGGCTCCCAACGATATATTACCTGCCATGGATGATGGCAGGAACTGTACATCATGTATTGTTGTCATGGAAACAGAGCATTCAATGGCATACCGCATCAGCGCCGTAAGGCTTTGCAAGAGCGGAGACACGGGAAGAAGCATGGCGGCAATGACAGCACCGACCCCACCCGTCGCCAGTAGATTGGTCATGGTGGCGGGAACATTGTGAAGGACACAGTGAATGAGGATCTTTTCTTGCCAGCGGGCCACCAGGTATCCTGCCAACATGCCAGCGAGAAGCGACCGCGAGGCCACGGTGGATGCCACAACGCTGGCCATGATGCGACTGGATGTATCGACTCCTCCATGATTGGTGGCTGTCGTCGTACTACTACAAGCCGTCACCACGGCACAGGCCGTCGGCAGTGCGTGTCGTTCGAGAACCAGAAGAAGTAGAGGGAGGAGTGGTTCCATATTGTTGTCTTCCTGGAATGATAGGATTCTTGCGAGCGGATTGTATTGTACTGGAATGACTCCATCACCATTGGATTCCAAGAATGAGTTTATAGACAAGAGACTTCGACGTAGCAGACAGACCCCCCAAAAGGCTGGTAGACAGGCATTCAGAATAGATCTCCACCTGGGTCCATGGGATGCTTGCGGTTTCCTCCAAGGTTGATAGGGCACATTCATGGCCGTCGCCAGTGCATGGACATACGACACTGCCCGCGTCAAGGAAGTATTGGCCACTGATCCTCCGGCATTTCCCACCAACCGTATTTGATATCGGGAGGCTGCCAATGCCAGAGACGTTCCACCGGTGCCGGTGACGGGAATGTCGGAACTGGAGGCTGCTTGCAAGGTTTCGGCAAAAATGTCCACACTGACGGAAATGCAAATCAGGGCAGATACATTATTGCTGTCGTCTGAACTGCTCTCGCCACGTATAGACCGAGCCAATTTCTGGCTGAGTTCTCGGCAGGTTTGATTGACGTCTTGGAGTAGACCCGATCGTATCACTTCCACGGGTAGACGACTGCTAGTACCTGTAGTAGGGTTATCATCTTTGGGCAATACTGCGTACAGCAATGCCCTATCCTTGCGTTCATCCACCGTATCAAAGCCTTTTCCTCCTTCCAGAGCCACCAGCAGAGCCGTGGAAATTCCCGTACAACCCGGCAATTGCAATAATCGATCATGAATGATCTGAAGCAACTCGGGAGGATCCGTGTGACCCAGAGTGGCCGTGCCACCTCCTGTGCTGCCTACCAGAGCCACTCTCCAAGAAGTCGTTGTCGTCATGTCCTTATTATTAGTACCCTCTTCATTGATTATTCATGAAATACAATCACCAAGGTATCTTCGGAATGACAACGGATGCTGCGTGCACGAGACAGCGAGAAGCGAGAAAGATATCTTTGTAGATGAAGTAAGCCAGTGGAGCTGAGATCCATCCCTTTGCAAGGACGCGCGCTTTCTCCTTGGTGTTTCGAGGGCGCCCGAGGTGATGGATGTCCATGGGGCGAGGCAACATGCTGCTCGTGGGGGGCATTTAGAAATTCTAAAATGGGCTACGGTACTCATTGACATACACCTGGGCTGCTGCACATACTTGGGCATCAAAGAGTACTCTGCGGATCTGAAGTCCTGAATTGTACACTTGACTGGGCACAGGGCAACCACCAATCGGTGGGTTTGGCGTGGAATCAAGAGAATGAATGCCCTTATAACTAGATATACAATGTTTAGACTAGACTATCAGGAGAGAGCTTTGCTCAGAGATCTCACCACCAGGCTGAAGGATGCCTGAATACAGGGAAACCAGAATTTTGACCGACCGGTACAGGTCAAATGGCAGAGCTGCTACGATCTACAAGATGGACGTGTGTGTTTGCTGGTAGCTCCTAGCTAGAAATGGTCATCTGGGTATTCTTAGTAGGGCTAGATAGTAGAATGGATGCCGTGAAGAGCCCGGTGCTGCAAGGACTTGGAAGTCACTAGACTCTACCTGCACATCCTTCGGCTTCAGGGTGGGTGCGCGGTGATGTGAGGGACAAAGCGATGATCTTCGCCGGACCACGGGAGCCGTCATCGAAAACCCGGAGGTACGTGCCGGCGGACGAAGTTGAAAGATCCAAAAGATACCATTTTGGCGTGGTTGCCATCGAACCCGTCAACCATCGGCTGCCAACTTTACTTTTTTACAGAACAATTCAGCAGAATACATTTTCAAAATACTTGTTTCGCATCATGTTGAGTGTCGCTTCTCCTACTCTCCTCCTCCGCTCCACTGTCAAGAGCGGTACCTTGATGCTTGGAGCAAGACGAGGTTTGGCATCCACCGCAGAAAAATTTGGTTTTGACATCACCCTCGAACCTTCGACCGGTCCAAGCGATGATGAAAAAAAACTTGCAGTGATTTGTGGTTGGATGGGAGCCGAAGCACGCCACTTGAAGCCCTACAAGAGCTTTTACTCCGACCGTGGTTATGATGTTTTGAGTTTTGCCGTAGGCCCCCAGCATGTGTTAAAGCCCCAAACCTCTCTGGATTTCATGGAAGCTGTCCTGGATGAAACGCTTAACAATGATCCGGACAAGGTTGTGACACATTATTTTTCAGTTGGCGGATACTTGATGGGGCAACAGCTGCGGCTCTTGAATGATCCGGAACGACAACAAGACAAGGAAAAGTACCATCAACTGGTCAAGGCACAAATCTATGACAGTCCCCCGGATGTTCAAGGTATTGCCAAGGGCATTGGCAAAAGCATGGCTATGGGAAAATTCGTTGCTACGACTGTGGAGGGACTCGTCAATAGCTATTTGTGGGCTGTTCGCGACACTGCAGGAAAACATCACCGTGCATCCTCGGATCACTTTCATGAAAATCATGTACCGGCCCCCAGTCTGTGGCTATACAGCCATTCCGACCCCGTGGCCCCTCCTTCAGACATTGATGTTGTCATGAAAAAGTGGGCTGCACAAGGCTACACTGTAGAAGACATTGTCTGGAAAGATACACCTCACATTCAGCATGCAAGATTTGATCCGGAGGGATACTTTGGTGGGTTGGAAAAGTTCCTCAACAAACATGTGTGAATGATCCAGTAGTGAAGCGCTTGTTTTTTAGTGTTGTGTGAGTGCTGTATATTGATGTAGTGGTGAAGACGGAGTTGCCATCAACTTGTTACTTTCACAGCTCAGAGTTGCAGTCCTACGTGACGCAACGTGGAGGCTCAGATGCCGCAACCCGGTCTTCTACATACGGTAGTCTGCTGCTCGGCGATACAAGATCCGCCCCTGGGGAATTCGTGACCCCTCTTTGAAACTTTTTTAAAATACCAATCAACCTTCGTACAATGTCATGGTTGTCTTGCTTCATGCCATTGCTTTCAATGGGATAGATTTGCTAGCTAGACAAAGAGTTCCTCCGTGCCGGGCTTTCGCTGCAGGTACGGCAGGTGGTCGCTCCTCTGGCAGCGCGCTCCTTCGTGCTTCGTGCTGGGCTTTCGCCGAAGCTTGGACTTTATTAGCTCCTCTGGCTTGCTCCCTCCGCATGGACGTCCCCCCGAAAACCTTGAAAGTGGAGGCATTCAATACACACCGAGGGCTCTTTGCTTAGACTTGAATTCCAGAAAACAACATGGCTATGTTGGTATCAAAGAGATTGCTCTTGGCGCTCCTAGTCTGCTGTGGCACCAATGCGTTGTCTTCAGCGTTTGCCTTCAGCAGCCTCAAGACGTTGGCAGCATTGGAGCGTCCGGATCGCGTTGTGCCATCTATCTCAGGTCGCACCCTATTCATGGCGGGGAATAGAGATGCAGGTACACCTGAACAGTTGGATATCCGACCGTGGCAGGTGGTGGCCTTTTGTGCGGGAACCGCTGCAATGATCCCCATCAAGTCCCAGAGAGCGGTCTCGGCCATATGCTACCCCCGTTGGTTTTCCTATCTGCTTGTAATCTTGTTTCATGCATTGAAATGGCAGAAACTCTGCAAATTGGCCTCCAAGGCATTTCATGTTTCCATGTTCGCAATGCTCACCATACCCACAAGTTGGCTCCTCACTCTGCCTTACAGAGCCATAGTGCTCAGAGACCCGGCTGCCATTGAACATGGCGTCGTCGTTTTGGTTGCAGCATTGCTTTGCTTCATCGTCATGAGAACCAAGAACATGCCGGAATGGTTCGATCCATTGATTGAGATCGTGACAGCCTTGGCCTCGTTGTTTTCGTAGCTACTTCAAAAGTGATTTGGAGGAAGTTGACGCGTTCGGCTGCAGACAACGTTCATCAAAAGTGGTTTGCAGCTTACCTCGCTAGCTATTGGGAACCCAAGCCCACTGCAGATTCGTGGTTTGTTTGATGGAGCAGGCCTCAGGATGCAGCTAGTCTAAATGTAATGAACGATTCAATCTACCGGTACTAGCGAGACTACCGGTGCCAAATTGAGATGAAATCCACGGGAAACCGTCCTATTGTCTTGATGCTATTCTGGTATGGAAAAGCTTGTACTATACCTGGATATGGCTTGGTATCACTCACACTCATTCAAGCCCACCGTCAGAATCAGACCGAGGCAAAAGCTTCTTTCAGAAAACCAGCTTGTCGCTTCTCCATAGCAAATGGAAAGGCTGTGATGCTCAGAGGCGAATGCAGTTCTATTGTTTCTCCCTACTCCTGTCTCTTTGCCTTCCTTCATGAATACCTAGACAGCCTTGCGCAGATCTGACCTCTACAGTACAGCTGTACTGGTACTAATAAGCTGGTGAGCCGTCCCAAGTCCCAAACAAATTTGAAAAACCTGCAGTTGAAGGAACGTCCTCCACGTGTAACCCATTTTCCGTCACACTCACGCACAAAATCTGATGTTCCGTTCTCCAAATCCGTCATTGTTGCCAGATTCTACATTTATTTCGAATCGAATCTACCGCAGGATTCAAATCAATCTTCGGCAATCATAAATTAAGCCACGATGACAATGATGGGACGACGAAACTACGAGGCTTTGGTGGACCGCGAGGATCAACAGTTGCAGAAGCAGCTGTTGCGCAAGTCATGGTGGATAATGGCAGTGGTGGCCATGGCGGGTGGGGTGGCAATCTTTTGTTCCAGCAGTCATTCGCCGAATTCCCACCAACACCAACACACCATCCCAACCTTGCTGAGTGTCGTCCATCACGAAACTGGAGACTATCTTGTGGCATTGAATAATCCTGTTTATGAGCGACTCAAAAAGGCAAAATTCCATGATACCCTTTTGGTGGCTAATAACGCCAAAGAAATTCCCTCTCTACATGTCAACCGTTATCAAATTGGAGTGAGAGATCCACTCACTCTTCATTGGACTCTAGGTCAAAATATTCAGGGTGAGCCATTCTTGGACGAGGACAAGGATTTGATCACTTTGCACTGTGGCGATAAGACCATGGATCTGCGTGCCATGGATCCGTCCACAGACTTTTTGGATGCTGCCACTATTGCCCAAGCACGGTCCACCTCCTGCAGACATAGCGGTGAAGCGCATCCACAAAAATGGCACATTCCTAGTTTTCCAATATTACGCCATGAAATCTGCCAATTTGCTCTCTACAAGGCACTCCCAGATACCACGGACGGACAACCACAATACGCTCTATTAGACAGAACCGATCCCATTGAAATTGAATCTTCTCGCACTCTACCCACTGGCATTCATTTGGCCCTGGGGAGTACACCCAATGAAATGGTGGTGCAATTCACGTCGGGTGATGTACACCCTCACTTTCCCAGAAATCAGGAAGGAACTCCCGTGGCACGCTACAGCAAACAAGGTAGCAAGGATGACGCCCAAAAGGCCACCGGAACCAGTCATACCTACTCGGCCAAAGACATGTGCGAGGCACCCGCCAATATCACCGAGGCTGGCAAATTCCAATCACCCGGAATGATCCACGTCATTCGTTTGGTCGATTTGGAACCCAACACTGCCTACGAATACAAGGTAGGCTTGTCGCATGGACAAGGCATTACATGGAGTGACTCGTACTCGTTCCTCTCACCACCACTAGTCACGGGAGATGCAGCACCTCACTCGTATTTGGTGTATGGCGATCAAGGGTGTCCGGCCACTGGCTGGGGAGACGGGGGCAAATGGGTAGCGGCCATGACGGCACGGGAGGTCTTGAACCCCAAAGACAAGAATCAGCCCATTCGATCCGTCCATCATTTTGGGGACCTTTCCTATGCCGTGGGAGCGGCACATATTTGGGATGCATGGCTCAACATGATTTCTCCCTTTACCACTAAAGTCCCACTCATGGTGGCGGTAGGCAATCACGAATACGATCACTTGTCGGGAGGTGGCAATGGAAAGGATCCCTCTGGTGTCAAGAACGAGGATGGATACCGACCAACCTGGGGCAATTTTGTTAATGATTCTGGTGGGGAATGTGGTGTCCCCACTTCCAATTACTTTACCATGCCCAACAGTACCAAGAGCAATGGAGTGTTCTGGTACTCCTATGACTTTGCCAATGTCCACACCACTGTGATTTCGTCCGAACATGATTTGGCTCCTGGTTCGGTTCAGTACCAGTGGCTGGAAGCAGACTTGCGATCTGTGAATCGGACCTTGACTCCTTGGTTAATCGTCGAGTCGCACAGGCCCTTGTATGAATCTCAAATCAATTGGGAGAACAATGATGTTGGTATTGTGCTACGTCTGGAACTAGATGATTTGCTGGTAGACTACAAGGTGGACGTGGTCTTGACGGGCCACTATCATGCCTACCTTCGGACCTGCGATGGATTGCACAACGCCAAATGTCATAATGGTGGCCCCATTCACCTTACGATTGGATCGGCAGGTGCCGCATTTCTGGATACCGACCTCTATTCCAATTCCTGGACGGACAAGTTCATCAAAAATGAATTTGGGTATGGACGGATCACCGTGGCCAACGCCACTGCTCTGCACTTTGAATTTGTCAAGGCGGGAGACAGCGATGACAAAACAGCTGGTGAAGTGCACGACGAAGTTTGGATCGTCCGTGAGCGATGAGGCACTTACTTTTTCGCGAATACAGGCTACTGCAGCAATATCTTTCATACATACCGGACTAGCTAGTATTAGAAGAATATTTTAGAAGACTTAGTTTAGAGCAACACAGATACGCGAAGTTTACAAAGTTATGGTTCTATTGACGGAATGGTTGACATTGAGGGAGCCCTATATCACCAAAAAGCGGCAAACCAAGCCTAATGATCGCCTAATGATCGCCTAATGATCCACTTCACTAAGAAAGAATGCACTGGATGGGTCCAACGTTCGCAGATCGATCTTGTATCCCTTTCCAAAGGTACTACTGACAAAGGCGGAAATCACATAGGTCTCAGCACTTCCTGCCTTTTTCTTGCCACCGCCTCCTGCCTTTTTCTTTTTGGGCTTGCCATACGACTCTGGTTTGATTTCGTAGACCTTTTTCATAATGGCCCCCGTGTTTTCCAACAAGGGGTCGATTCCAAAGGATCCCTTACCAACTGGCAAATGCACGATACCCTCCTTTTCGGTTCTGTATTGCACTTCTTTTCCGGCCAATTGAGATTCCAGCAACTCCAACAAATTGTCTTCTGCTGCGACGGTTCCCACCTTGGGGTTGGGCATCAGACCCCGTGGTCCCAAGACTCGTGCCAACTTTTTGGACAAATCGGGCAGCACTTCAGAGGTTGCCAAGGATCGTTGAAAGGAATCCACCGCAATTTCGCCACTGGCAATTTTTTCCATGAGATCCTCGGCACCGACATGGAGGGCACCCATGGCTTTGGCTTTTTCCGCCAACGTTTCGTTGGATGTAAAGACTACGACGGCAATCTTTTTGCCAGTCCCATGCGGCAATTCCAGCGATCCACGAAGCGCTTGACCCTGTTTGCGGGGATCGACATTCAAGTTCAACGTGAGGTCGACCGTGTAATCTTGTGGTCGATAGGGTGGTACTGGAGGTGCCGCCGTTGTTGCCGTGCTATCATCATCATCTTCTTCTTCTTCTTTCTTCTTTTCGAGGTACTTGGCTCGTTGCTTCCATTTCTTGTGTCTCTTGGTTTCGCGTGCTTTGATTTCTTCCAGGACCTCCTGCAATGCCTGTGGGATGGTGTGGACGGGTGGTGCTTGGGGATGAGCTCGAGTGTTGTAGGGACGGTTTGATGAAAGCAGCGAGGAGCTAGCTATTCTTGTAGTTGCTGACCCTGGCAATGAGGGAGTTGGCAACAACACTCGAGAGACAACGGTCCGTTGCCCAGTGCGGCAAGTCGTCGACAACATCATGGTCGATTGATCTTGTGGCTTGGAATGTTCGTTGCCATGTTGCGAGGTGCGAGAGGCCAAAGGTTCAAATTGGCAAAATTACGAAAAAAGCCAAAATGTTGTTTTGAAAAGTGAAAATCGACTTGGAACTGAATGAGGTTATGAGCCTCCTTGGAGTCACCCTGCTAAGCAGCTTGAGACAGGCTTGGCCGAAACCCTACAGTGGTACCTGGTACCTGGTACTGACATCCCAAATTGCCGCAGCTACACCGCCAACCCCAACTGTAGCGAAGTCCCATTGGGTTGGTGGAGTGGAATGTTCAGGTTCTCATGGACCTGCTCCAAGAAATGTCTGAAGCAAACAGCACCAAGATACAGTGAGGAAACAAGGCGCCACGAGCACACTGAACACAATTAAGGTCAGCCAGCATTGTCCCATTTCCGCTGAGACAACCCCTTCCATTCACTTGATCATGCCTCTCATGTTGTCATGGCAACTCTGAAGTATACGAATCGAATCATTTCAGCCTCTGAGTTACAAATTGACAGTGACGATGCCAATTCTGGCAGTGGCCCAACCGCAGCCCAAGTCCATGACCACACCTATGGAATCTCCAGGCAAGCTGTCCTTTATGTGCTCTGTTCCTACTGCTTTCTGGTCAGCTCTCACATTATGGTTCTTCTGTCTGCAGTGATCCCTTGATGCACTTCTCCTTTGTATTTTCCGCACTGATTCATGACGTGGACCACCCTGGCGTTCCAAACCAAAAACTCTGCAAAGAAGACCCTGAATTAGCAAATCTTTACTTCCAACGATCTTTAGCAGAACAGAACTCATTCGACTTGTCATGGAATCTGCTGCTAGAGTCTCGCTTCTCTGACCTCCACAAGTGCCTCTATGCAAACAGATGAGAGCAAGAGCGTTCCGACAGCTTGTCATCAACCACGTAATGGCCACCGACCTCGGAGACCTTTAATTGAAAAATCTTCGGCAGGAACGATGGGAGAAAGCCTTTGCTGCACGACAGGATTATCCTGGAGACCAAAAGATTGACAGCATAGTGCAACAGGTAGAATCCCGAGGCCCTACACTGGTCCCCAGTTTGCCCCCCTCCGTCGTACTGATCCAACTGGCCCAGTCCCAACTTTCACCTTATCTTCTCATAAGTTTGCACCCCCTGCCACCTTTCATCTACTAGTGAATAATCCAATGGGTTAGCTAGGAGCTACGGTAGCGAGTAGGCGCCCTTTTTCTCGGACTCGCCCATCCATGGACCCACTGATTGGGTAACTTGGTTTGGTTGCCCAAATCAATATTGAGGACACTTGCGTCTGAAGAAAAGTTCGCCTCGGAGAAATTAAAATCTCCGAATCTGCAACACAATCTGAGCCGTGTCACGCGTTATCCATGACTGAGTGACTCGACTGAGTCACTCAATTGCCACCAACCACCAAAGATTTTGGGATGTTGTTTTGTTGCTTTTGTCGTCCATTGGCTGGTCCTCGTCAATCATCCATTGTGCGGCACTTGATTACAATCTTCGTCCAAGGTACAATCGTGGTCTTCAGTTGTAAGCTATCATAGCCAGCTTCAGTCCAGTCCGCTGCCAATCTCGGTCAAAGCTGATTTATTTCTGTACCCATCCATCCATGCATCGCCTTGGCAACATCCGAAAAGCTACCACAAGACGGAGTCAGTGGATACGAGCATGGCAAAGGTCGATCACTGCACGGGAAAGTCACCTCCTCAGAGAAGGGAGCAGCTGCCACACGTTTCCCCAAACGAAGCTCCCAATTCCACCGTCGGCTCGACAGACTCCGATTGCATTTCTTGCTTTCCCCAAGAGGTCCTTTGCAGCATCCACGAGCAATGCTCCAGAAATATCCCAGTCTTTGGTGCAAGATGATAATGACGTTGGATCAGTGGAGGACGATTTCTCATCATCTGACTTTTCAGACTCGGAAAATTCATCCAAATCTCGGAGGAAAGCCCTTCAAGTTAACAAGAGTTTTGAGAATGACGACGAGGATAGTAATTCAACAACTTCCACTACCACTAAGGACAGCAAACGAGACAACATCCAGTCCAAGAAAAAGCGTCCAAACAACCGAAAAAAGAAAAACAAACGACGTCTGAACGCAAAAAAATCGAATAGTTCGCCTGACAAGGTGGTTTATGCCGAACTGGAGAAATTATTCGAAGAGATTGCACCCGTATCCGTCCTCCATACTATCGATGCCTTTTTGTTCAAATTGGAACAGGCCAAAACGCCCAAACAGCGACAACGATTGGTGGATTCTGTTTTGTTAAAGCGAGAAGATGACGACGACGAGGAAGGGGACGAAGAAGACAGCAGCAAACGAAAGAAAAGCAACCACAATCAACAGTCCAAAAAACAAAAGAAGAAGAAAAAGAGAACGCCAGAACAGCAAGCGGCTTATTGGATGCAAGTCAAAATTATGAACTTTCTGGATTTGCTACCGTTGCATGCCAGGCCGGCCCAATCCATCCCCTCGCCAGCCAAACAAAAAGAGAGGCGTCTACGTGACACGGCCTCCATTTTACGCCATGCACGGGACAAAGTCTTTGCAGCATCCTCCCATGATACGAGTGATAGTGGTACCAATAATAATGTCATGGTATGGAGCAGGGATCGCTTGGGACGCAGCGTCAAGATACGGACCAAGCTGCATCAAGCACAAAACGAGAAGACATTGCAACGACAAGCCAGAGAAATGGCATTGGTGTTGGCCGAACGACTGCCAACACACCGGTACGAAACCTTGATGCAGTTTTGGGCCAAGTACATTGATCATGATAGCAGCAGCAGTGAATCTTCCACCACCAAGACCTATGTCAAGAACTTGTTCAATCGCATCGATCAAAAACTCGGGGGGCATGTGCACTTGGTAGCTCCGGAATTTGCACGATTCTTTTACTTTGATGACGATGATACGGACGGCAACAGTAGTTTCGCCTACAAAGAACCGCGAATGGTGGAATCCAAAAAGGAATGGGACAAGTTCAAGGAAAAGTTTGTGGACCGAATGCTGGCACTCTATCGCAGGTTGCACAAGACTTTGCCAAAGCCAAAGAACGAGGAAGCTGCCTATGATGCTAGCTTGTCCGTGTCCAGTGATGTTGTCGAGGAAGAGGCTGAAGACGACGACGCAGAAGAGGAAGAAGAGGCAGAGCAAATAATGGAGGAATTTGTAGCTACCAGTCTCAAAGAAAACGAGAACACACGTCAACCGCACCCCAAAAAGAAAAAGAGAGCCGCCAAGAAATGGCAGCGAGTTCACCTCGTGTTTGATACCGTAGCCATCGATCACCAACTACATCATGGCGGAGACAAAGAGTATCCCTTTCACCACGACACAACCGTGTTTATTGACAATCTACCCATTGACATTACGGAGACCGAAGTGACGGAACTGTTTTCTCGATGCGGGACTTTGGAGCACGTGGAGATTTTCAATCAACGACCGGCTTTAGACCCGGGGCCTTTGACGGCCACCAAGCGACGAATGCTGGCCAAACAGGCGCGCAAGCAACGACGGGGTGGTAGATGGACGCGTCCACGAACTCCCGTATACGGCATGCTGTCGTTTGCCGAGGAAGAAGGTGCTCGGGTTGCCTCGCAGGATGCGCTGCGGATATTTGGCATGATTGTAAGGGGCCACTCGGTCCGCAGTATCCGCGCCAAGGACATGACGCGTTTGTACATTGATCACATGAATGATGATGATGACGACGACGACGACAAGAAGAAACGCACTGGTATGGATGTGGAATACAGTTTGAGCCAATTGCTCAATCCGGGGCTGTATGTGAGTTTGGATATTAGCAGCACGAACGTTCACAGGGGCAGTCAACGAGCGGTTCCTACGAGTTGCGAAATTATGTTCCCTTCGTTTGAAGTGGCGAGCGAAGCTTTTGAAAGGCTCCGTAGTGAGTTGGATGTCGTCAAGGAGAGTGAGGAGTGCAGCATCAATTGGATGAGGACACCGCCGGATGCGGAGCGCTACTGGACGCGAGAGCTAGGAGGAGTAATGTAGCAAAGGTGGCTACGTAGCTAAGGTTGTAATAGATTCTAATAGAAGATCTAGATACATACATTGAACATCGCGTGTAGATTCGTGGGTGGTTGGAGTATTACAAAGAAATGAGGAGTGATACAGTATTTTACTACAAAAAGTAAGGAACCAGCTGTGCTCTGGTTTCTCCCTTGGGCCCATAAACTGACTGTTCTGTGTCTCGAAAGAACTTGAATCGTTGTCGAATGGATCCTTCAAATCCTTCGGAACCTGGTCCGTCTTCTTCCGGGTTATTAGTAGTATGGGCGTTGTCTCCCCCAATTTCCAAAATGGCAGCGACATTTCCACACCGATAACAATAATTGGGTGCCGACCACACGGTGACCAATCGTTTGTCAAAATGATACTTGCGTCCTTCCAATACCAATTGATGCGCTCGTGCCATGAGTTGTAAATTGTTGACGTGATGAAATTCGTCCGTGACGCGTTGTCCAAATAAATATCCGGCTCCTCGAGGACTCAATTGCCAGGCTCCAGAAATATCGTCGGGATCACTCCAGACCAAATCACAAAATGCTCCTTCGTGAGGAATTTCTTGATTGCGATCAATGGCCCGGACTTGATCTAATGTTCGTACATCCGGGGAGAGTCCTCCGTGGACACAGAGTACCTGTTCGTCAATCAAGGCGGCGAGACCAAAGGTATCAAAGCATTGCACACAATGTCTCCACACGGATGCATTGCCGTACTTTCGTAAACACTCGTCGTAGAAACCATAGACTTGTGTAATTTGACGACTCTTTTGTAATACCAATAATAGATATAGATAAATAAGATAGATAAGGTGAGAAAACCACATCCATCCAATACACCGACATGCAGTCAAAAAGGGTATATAGGACAGTACATACCTCATGATTTCCTCTCAATAAGGTGACATGACCGGGATATTTCAATTTCAGACAGAGCAATAAACTGAGAGTTTCCACACTGTTGTGTCCACGATCGACAAAGTCTCCCAGAAAAATGTACGAGGTATCGGGAGGCCATCCCCCCACACGCAGCAGATTGAGCAAATCAAAGAATTGGCCGTGCAAATCTCCCACAATCGTTACTGGACTCAGCACAGGCTGGACATTGCTTTCTTCCATCAAAAGCTCAGACACGTATTGACACAGGAGTCGCAGGGAACTCTCGCTCACGCATTCGCCCGATTTCAGCGTCTCGATGCACTCATCCACGTTGAGGCCCATTCTGTTCTGTTATGCGGGGTCCTCAATTAATTGTTGGGTATTTACCGTAGAAAAGGTAGAGCGAAAAAGCGGGATCTCTTGTGAGAAACGTCAGGCCTGAAAACAGTCACACTATTGGATCGCTAGTCAGCAGCTAGAGTAGGGCGATTGCGTTCGATGCCTCGACAAGTACCAGTCTGGTAACAGGAAGTCGATGTTTGTGATGTCTGGCTGGTGCTGTTGTTGCCGCTTGTCCCTTGTGGTGATGGTCCGTGGTGGCAAGAATTAATTCACGAATAGAGTGGAACCCGTCATTTTCCACGTTCCGAAGCGTGGTCTGGTTCCCTTGCCACCGAACGCTTCCTCATCATTCACTGCCGTCCACCTCAACACATTGCCCTCACCTCCCAAGAAGAATAGAAATCGGTTGCTCCATTTCGTGAGACAGCTGAGGTGTATACCGGTACAGTACTGTTTGCGCTGCTGCCAGCAACAGACGATGTCATTGCGAATTGCGAAAGCCAAAAAGCAGGAATTGAATCGACGCATCTTTTGGACCTTCCAATCAAGTCGAACCGAGTCGAGTCGTTGAAGGTGATTGCCGAATTTGCTAGTGCTGACATTGGGTCCAAGCAACGGCGAACTGTACAGTGTGCCCTAACAATCTTGGTGAATACCGTCGTCAGTGACTGTCAAGGGCCTCGCGTGACAAGCACCATGTTCGCCTCTGTGTCAGTTTGGCATTTGCCAGCACCACGGTGAGCACTGTAACAGGTGTGGAATCCACACTTGTGAACGTCATTATAGCAGCGGCGAAACGCATGCTCCTACTGTCATGCCAGACGAGCTAGCTAGTCTTTGCTGGCAATGCCACCAAAATGGTGATAAATGTAGATTAACGGTACGGTACATGCAATGCTGAAACGGCACGGTGCCCACCTTTGTCTTTGGCAGGCTCGACTGGCCGATGTGCAATATTGCTACGAGAGGAGTGCTGGTGAGGACAAAGAAGAGCTGACTGGGCATACGTACAGCAAGAAGAAGTTTGAATTTAGAGTTCTCAAGAAACGTGAGCCCGACGAGTGAGCGAAATCATGGTGCCTGGGGTCCCACAAACGTCCTGGGCTAATACCCTACCGTACATGTAGCTGGACAGGTCATGAAATAAAACGATTCATAGAGTAGTCTTAGCTCTAGGAAGTACTATTGCCAAGTACAACATCCTCTTCAGGAGGCCTCCCCTACAACCACCCCGAACATTCCATGTGGCCCTCCGGAGTTGTCGTTGCATCATCATCTCTGAAGGGCTCTGGTTCAACCTCTTTGAATGCCTCTGGTTCAACCTGCAAAACCTCAAGCTTGCTGCTGCCGCTGATTCCCCACCCCGAACCTTCCATTTCCGCCGTTGTAGTATCATCTTTGTATGCCTCTGGTGCAGCCTGCACAACATCAATCTTGCTGCTGCCGCTGTTTCCCCACAGTGCTTCAGCTTTCTTCCTCATCTCTTCCGTTGCTTGCTTTCCTCGCTTGACCCACAGGTCACGATTTGAGGATGCGTAGCTCAGATTCTGCAAGCAATGACCAAGGTCAGACATTGTATCTTTGTTCAGCACTTGCATACGACACTCAACGTTCAACAGAACAAAATCTCACCTCATCGCACGAAATACCAAAGACACCACATTCATTTAGCTTCTTCGAGAGTGGAACAACGTAGAAGTCAAAGAAGCCCAGTTCCCCTTCATACCAGAAATCACTTGGGTCCTTAGAGGCACGGCCATTGCGATGCGCGGCGTACATCTCCATAAAGAGCTTCTCCTGTTAATGAAAGGATTGGTTGTGATGAGCATTGCAACATGAAGCCCAATGCACCTAATTATCCCAACAAGATCACTTACATTCCATTCACGGTAGATCTCCCAATGTTGCATCTGAGAAATGAAGAACAAGGCAAAGTATACTTGTGAACCAAAGATACCACTACAAAGCCTCTCCTCCAAAAGCGAAACAGCAGTTGCCACTTACTGTGTGTGAAACATCACTGGCTTGAATCAAGTGCTCAATGACGACTAATGTAGGATGGTTAGATGTTTTCTTCAACTTCCATCGGCTTTCAAAGTTGAATGAAGACAATGTTTGACTTACTGGTTGCCTTTCGGTTCCGGGATTCTACCTGTTGCACTATGCTGTCAATCTTTTGGTCTCCAGGATAATCCTGTGCAGCAAAGGCTTTCTCCCATCGTCCCTGCCGAAGATTTTTCAATTCAAGGTCTCCGAGGTCGGTGGCCATTACTTGGTTGATGACAAGTTGTCGGAAACGCTTTTGCTCTCCTCTGTTTGCAAAGAGGCACTTGCGGAGGTCAGAGAAGCGAGACTCTTGCAGCAGATTCCACGACAAGTCGAATGAGTTCTGTTCTGCTAAAGATCGTTGGAAGTAAAGATTTGCTAATTCGGGGTCTTCTTTGCAGAATTGTTGGTTTGGGACGCCAGGGTGGTCCACGTCATGAATCAGTGCGGAAAATACAAAGGAGAAGTGGGTCAAGGGATCACTGCAGACAGAGGAACAAAATTTTGTGAGAGCTGGCCAGAAAACATAGGAACAGAACACATGAAGAACAGCTGGCTTGCCTGGAGATTCCATAGGTGTGGTCGTGGACTTGGGCTGCTGTTGGGCCATTGCCAGATGACATGGCATCGTCATTGTCCTCCTGTAACTCAGAGGCTGAAATGATTCGATTCGTATACTTCAGAGTTGCCATGACAACATGAGAGGCATGATCAAATGAATGGAAGGGGTTGTCTTTGTACAGATCAGATATGCAGGTGACGTATTCATGGAGTTGGTCCACAACCACCTGCGGGATGAACACAGTGCTACGGCCTTTCTGAAGCCTTGCCTTCCGCCTACTGAACTCGGGGAAGTCCACCACCTCTTTCACGCCATCCAGTGGCCGGGTGAGGTCACAACTGCTATCATCGGAAGAATCAGCTTTACTGCTTGTCATCGGAGATGAGACAATGCTGGCTGACGATAATAGTGTTCCTTGTGCACGTGACTTTTGCTTCCTCACCGCAGCTTGGTGTTGTTTGCTTCGGACAACTTCTTTCAGCAGGTTGAGGAGAACCTGAACGTTCCACTCCACCAACCGACGGCGCTTCTCAGCAGCTGATTTCTCGTTGGTAATGTTCCGAAGGCCTCCGATGGTACCTCTTTCGAGGTCAGCCTCTGCGGTGGGCGAAAGATTCTGATTCTCGCGGTGATTGTCAGGTCTGCACCAATACGTTGTGACTTCCGATTGACCAACTCTAGAGGACACACTTCCATCCCTTTGTGCCAGCCAATGTTTCTTCCCGGCATTCGTAAGGAGTCTAGCAGTATATTCAGAAACCTGGATTCGACCGGCTTCGCTGCTTGCCCCCATATCATTGGCTGTGTTACACGTTTCACCAAACAGATTGAACCGCGTACTCATACCCTGAAGATACCCTCCCGTAACCTTTCCACTGTGTATTCCGATGCGGAGCTGTGGACAACAATGCCAGTGAGTGGACTGACGTTGCCTCTACGAACCGTCGACTTCACATAACCTCTAGAACATACCTCCAAATCACTCGTGTCTGGGCCGAACTGCACCTCGAGCTCTTGCGCCAACTCGTAAAAACGAGCCAAGCATTCGGCTCCGAACAAAGCCAGCTTTTCGGCATGGTCGCTTTGCTTTCGAGGTATACCAGTTGCAGCAACTGAAATGAGGAATATAGGCAGTAAAAGACAATGAATCAGTTACAGGCTTCAAAACAGTTAGTCACACAGATCCAGAAGAGGCCAGCGCACCATAAGTATCGGAGCCAGAATCGACCTTGAAGACCGAGTGCTTTTTGGCAATCGAGTCGAATTCACACCACATTCTCTCCAAGAACTTGAAGATTTGGACTGGCTCTCTCACACTGCTCCACCCAGCAAAACCAACAATCTCGGCATTCATAATGGATGAGCTAAGAAAGATATCAGGGAGAGGGTCCTTGGTATCGTAAGCTCCACTCTTCCCCAACACTTTGGGAAAGACAAATATCATCAACGTTGCCGCACAATCGCCCAACAGAACGAGGCTGCTGTAATCAGCAAGTCTTGTTGCATTCACCGCTCCATTGAGGTTGAGAACAAGAACGCGCAAGACCACAAAGATGAAATGGGAAATGAGCAACGCTGAGAGCACCTTTGTGTCGTTGATACCGTCTGGTGCTCGACTGTTCATGAAGTTGACAATCAGACCAAAGAGAATCAAACACCCAGGCCAAGCAACACTGATTGCATACCAGGCCAGTGATTCTGAGGAGCAATAGTCCGTTTCTTTGACAAGATTCTCTCCGAATTCGTTCTCTTCGCCAAGCACTTGGTATTGGAAAGCTATCGATCTAGGATCAACGACGGTCCAGATCACGCAGTACGTTGCTGCCACCAAAACGCCCAAACCAACGGTACCAAAGAGCACCTTCTGGGAAAGCCGGAGATGTTGCATGTGTTTCCCCGCAGCCGACAATCGAATGATGGCATCTACCCTGGCGACTGTTGGGATCAGCACCAGACAGTACCCAATGTTGGCCAGCCAGGGTACTGCTTGACAAGAGGCATCCGACGGTGATATTGCGGATGCAAGTGCAGCTCCCGCCACCAAGAACAAGCCAATCTCCAATATCAGTATGCACTCAAGCTGAGCGATGCATATAGTAGCTTTCGACCTCCACAACCATGTCAAGCCCATTGTCACGACCAAGACTGCCATCATGAAGTAACTAAGCCCTTGGGCTGCCAGAGCGAGGCTCTCCGCAGGCGCTTCTTGTATCTTCCTGGGATGTGTTGGCGGCGCAAACGATTGCACCAACTCCAAGTTATCCACAATCCATTCGCAGACTGCATCCCTTGGATCGTAACCCCATCGGTCTAGATTCTTGCCATACCACAATTCGAAAATGTCTTGCAGTTGCAGGGTTGAGATTTCATATGCTGAAATGGCCTCGAATGCTGGACTCCACAACTCTTCGGGTATCTCCGGGTTTTGTGACATGTCGCGAACCGTTGTGGAAACGACCTTTTTCAGTGATTGGGGAGCCGTGTCACAGTCGCCAAGAGGCGAACCAATTCTCTTCTCATAGTCATCGCCACATCGGTCAGCGGCATTGGCTCGATTGTCGTAGCATGTTTGGGTCGGCTGTGGCAGGGAAACACGAGTGTGCTGTGCATCCGTTCCATAATAGAGCTGTGGCATGCTGTCTGGTTCCCACCAGAAGACCATCACATCACTCTGCGTGGCATTTGCAGCGGCCCAAATTTGCACAAGCTGGGAGTACGTGTAAGTGGTCACAACTTCCAGCCCAATGTCTAGGTGGTAAGCCTGCTGTTGCGCGGGTGTGGTCCAACCGCAACTGAAAGAGACACAGGCATGAATGAATAGACGACAGGAAGAGAGGTTGAGTTCCACTAACTACTGGTACCGTATGTAGCTGGACCAGGTCATGTCATGTCAGGGCAGTGAAGCAAACGCTGAACTTACGGGTAGTCGGCAAAATGGCCTGTGCAATTGTGCGGGTACTTGACGCAGTCGTTGGCATCCGTTTTGCGAAAGTGACCCGTGTATTCTCCTTCCGCAAACATTGCCATCTCTTCGTCTTCAGTCTCGGGAGGGCGCGTAGCGACACCATCGTCTTCTTGGCAATTGCTCTCCGAGACCTCGTCGCAGTAGTCCTTCCAGGTCGCTGGCCTCTTGAAGATGTCTGCCAGCTTCTTTCGGGCTTCATCACCCTGCAGGCCAACGTAACTGAGGAATTCAGGATACCGTGCACCCGTAAACTTTGGGACATACCAGTAGTCGCCGCCAAGAGCTCCCAATGCCATGGGTTTCTCGGCCACACCCGTTTCAAAGACATCTCCCGCCCGACCGAGGGCACCGATCCACGTCTCTGGCATGACGTGAGAACACGGCTGGTACTCTTCGGGATTGTCGCTGCTGCCAGTGTTGGCATAAGGACGGCAATCTCCATTCGTCGCTAGGGCGTTGCGCATGGTGCCCCCCCAGTCCGCGTTGGACCCGTACTCGATGCGAGACATCATATCGTACAAGTGGACGTGCGTGTCCACCACGCCCGCTTCGACCGACACTGGCACATCCAGTAGCTCACTTAACAGGATGGTCAAGATCCATGTCCCAAAGAAGCTCGATTCCCAATTCTGAGCGTGAATCCTGATCTCGGGGTAGTCAAAGGCAGACACTTGGCAATATCCCTTAGCGACAGCATCGGGTGGGTCTTCCGAGTTGCAAGTCCTGACGCGATGCCAGTTGGGAACACGCTGCGCAAGACACCCCTTTTGATAGAACGGATTGGAGCAGAAGCCGTCGACGCACTCGGAGCTGTGATGCAAGTTGTCGATACACCAGGCATTGTCCGTACAAGGTACATTTGTAGCCCTAACACCAGGGACCAAGAGCAAGGCAAGGCATGCCAATGTGTACAAGAGGACCTTCATCATGTTGGAAGCTCCCCACTTGAAAGATAGATCTTGGCGGGAAGAGCTGTGTTAAAAATATGAAAGTGAGGAAGTAACGAGCTCTGTAAAAATGGGCCGAAACTCCGAACCCAAAGCAAACACTTTGGTTGCTGAGTAGTACGGTAGTAACTGGAAGTGACCGTTGTTCGGTGGTAAAAAAGACAGCCAGAAGGCTACAAGTGACAACCTGTTTCCTCTCAAGCTTTGAGGCCTTGTTGCGGAATGGAAACAGAGAACCAATAGGAAAAGAGAATGTAGGTCATAGGAGACGTCGCTGATGACCAAGAAGAAAAAACTCCCTAAAAATTCTCACTCCCCAGTCCCCAGTAAAAATAATTGCTTTGAAGCTTCCTTTTGACTTTTAACCACTGTAGACTCTACCCGGTTGCCTCTGTTGTTGGGTTAAAGTGGTCATAGATACGCATGCCGTAGGGCACGTAAAGAAGCGGACAGTGGCCAAAAGGGCCCAAAAGGACTGCTCAAAGTATTTTCAAGTGACTTGAAAAACAGCGAACTATCAAGGGATTTAAGAAGATCCCCCGACGAGCTCTTGGAAGGCTTCTTTACATCTGCGTTAAACTTGGACATTATGAACACAACCAGCTAGCGGTACCCCTCCGTGTTGCCAGGCCCCCAGCTACGTGTACACTGTGCATTACTATTGCGGTGGACCCAGACGGCAGGAGGCTCTGCTTCGTAGCTGTAGCCATTAATAATTGACTAGAAACTGCATAACCACAACGACGAACAGCATTGGTCGAAAACTGAGCATCAGGCCCACGCCTTGTTCTTGGACATCTTTTTTTGATCTGTTATCTGTTACTGCTGGCTACTCCTGGGCTACGGTGGTACCAAGGCGCAGTAGTCTATTACATTAGAACATTGTAGCAGCAGCAGCAGCTAGCTAGAGTTCCGTAACATCTTTCAATTGAATTGGAACCCAACCTTCTTGCCCAGATTGCTGGAGTCTTCAGGAACCTTCGTCACCTGAACTCCAACATTACAGGTTGGCTTCCGGTTGTCAAGGGATGAAGTGGCTCTTTCCTGGCTGTGCTGCTGCCTGTCGAACGAAATGGGTGGAATAAACCGACGGCCCCTTCCACCGAAGTTCTAGACCAGCCACGGAGCAAATTACATGACCCCACTGAAATTTTTGTCAGGAAGTGAATTTGTGTAGAGCCAAGCTACATGTAGCTCCAAATTATCATCGTCGAATGCCAATGAAAGCTGGTTGCCAAGCAATACCTTGTTGATGCTGTTCCAATCTTATGTGTCATTTCCCCAAAAAGAAGGTTTGATTGAAGATTGAATTCAGGCTGCCGAAGGCATGAGCCCTCAACGAGTTTGACTTTGATTGGCAGTGGCTAGCTGGCTGCAGCTGTAGACCTAGCTCTAGCCAGCCATATGCATCTGTTTCTCTTTTGGTAGTCTACCTCTATTAGGGTTAGGGGTAAAAACTGTGACACACATCTGCGCAGAGGGACAAACACACAAACACACAAACACACAAACATACAAATAAAATTCACAAGGGCCCTAACCAAGTTGAGGGCTATACTGTTAAGCTTTCCATGGTGTTGTTCAGATGGCAGCATGTGAGTTAGCGGAGCGCTGAGATTGTTCAGCAGCAATGGCACAATGACACAATACATGTAGCCACCTGAGGAAGAAGCATAATCTATTGTGGAACAACGGACGCAGCAAGCTGTAAGCCTGCAAGAAGGCTAGCTTGGAATTTGCCTTACCAGCATGCCCAGAAGATACATTGTAGCCTGAGCTGTGATCAGCTCCAATCTTGCTAAATCCACCAGGGAAGCAACCAGAGGCACTCATCGTCAAGTCTTGCTTCATCCTACAGCCATTTCTCTTTGATAGAATCTACTAGGCAGTTGGGTTCTAATTAGATGGAAGAAATGGCAAGAGCAAGCGCCAGTCCCCCCCCCCCTTCAAGTAGATTAGTCAGATTCGCGTTAGTGACAGCCCGAGTCATGCTTCATATTTGAGGGATGTTTACTCATTCTTGTTGATCTTTCCTGAGTTGAGCTTGGAGGATCCATCCAGAGTCCACCCAACAGCTCAATAACTTGATTGTACTGACAGCAATGCATTGCTCTTCCATTATGATTCTTTTGTTTAGTGGTGGATTCATTTCTAGCTGGTGTTTCTGTGTTTGGCTTACTTGGTAGCAAGTGTCCTCGAGGATTGCTTAATTGTTGCAATCTTCACCACACAAAAATACCACCTAGACTAGTTCCGAAGCTTTGGATGCGTCCAAGAGTGATCAATGGTTGGTATATCAATGACTTTGTCAGTGAATTATTCTCCTTGATGTTGTGTCAAGATTTGAAGTAATCAATCATTGTGACAGCCCTTGATGGTGGACCTGTGATGTCCAAAGGGTGTTTACATCCTCCAGCACGGCAGGGAACATTACAGGTTGAGACAGATATTTTCACTGGTTTCAGAGAGTCTTAGGCTGGATGGGCTATCAAGGTCGCCTACTGGTACCCATTTGGGCTATCAGTGGCAACACACATGGTTGATAGATTCTGCTGCATTGGAAACTTGCCCCATCATTTGCATCTCTCTCTGCATCACGGTCTCTGATTTTGGCTGGTACACTCTTGCCTATGCCTCTCAACTACTACTAGGCACCACCAGACTTTGTAGCTGTGATTCCGATTTCTGGTTGAGTTGAGTAACTCATGGTTTCTGTTGTGGTTTGTGTCAATAATTGCGACATGCTGCCACCTGAACCAAAAATTGAGGCCGTCTTCATTAGAGCTAGGGTACAACTTGGTCATTGGGTCACGGTCATCAATCTTGGAGACTTAAATGGCGTGACCGGATTGGCGAACGGTGGTATCGAATGATTCAATCGAATCGATGTCAAAGTCACTGCGCTGACTGGTGGGTCTCATGGGTAGTTCAGCGCAGTCAGATCTTTGTAGAGGACACAGAAGAAGAAGAAGGAACAGCAAGAAACAACAACCAACAAACAGTCACCATGAAGCTCGTGTCTTCTGCCGGACTCTTATCTCTTATCGTCGCGACCCTCTTTTCGTTGGAGAGTGTGAACGCGGCGGTTAACGAAGAAGATGTCTTGATTGAGAACAAGGGTATTACATCGGGTCAAACCTCGGAGCGGATTGCCTACCAATGCACCTTTCGAAACCTTTGGACCAAGAATCGACAACCCGTGAGGTTTCCGGAAGAGCTGGGACGATGGGCAGGACCCATTCTCTGGACTCATACGTTGCAATTCCAGCCGTGGGTGCGGGACAAGGCCGTCACTCGAGGAGTGGAAAAGTTGGCAGAGGTAGGCATTTTCTTGCTTTTATTCATGGAGATGACTTGTTTGCCGAGACGGGGGTATCTGAAGTCATTATCTTGCTTATACACTAACGAATTCTGCTGTTTTCTTTCTTTTATTCAGGATGGCTTTACGGATGTGCTGGTGCAGGAAATGGAACAGCAGGGTGGCCAGGTGAAGGATCATCAGGAATACCCAAAGGGTCAATTCTTTGTTCGAGAGAGGGATTTCGTTCACATTCCACCCATTGAGGCTGACTTTACGTACCCCTACCTTTCCATGATGGCGAGCATTATGCCCAGTCCTGATTGGTACACTGGATTCTACAGCTTTTGGCTCATTGATGATTACACCCGCACTTGGTACGATCATCTCAAAATTCAGGTCAAACCCTGGGATGCTGGGACCGATGCCGGTGCCTCGTACGAGTCTCTAGAAAATGATTTGGATCCACCCCTTCCCATTCAACGATTCGTCCCTCGCAATGCCCCGGAAGGAGGAGAATTGAGAGGACCCGACGGAGAAACTGTCCCCGTGGTGGGCGAAATTGAATGCTTTTTGGTCGTTGGTGAAGACGATATCATCATGCCCGATTGCGATTGGTTTGCCAATCCCTGCTGCAACGAAACGGACACGGTAAATTGCAATAACACGCTTCCCAATGGCGCTGTTCCCAAATTGTCACCCGAATACGAATCGGTCTTGGCCAATCCTCCCGGCGACAGGCCTTCGGCTGGTGTCATGATGCACGCATCTTGGTTCATGGTCGCAGGATTGGCCGTTACGCAGTGGATTTTGGATTGAGGGATTTTTAAAATGCTCTTTTTGTGAATGTGAATTTACTCGACAATAAGTATCATCATCACAGCTCCGTACGGTAGCAAGGTTAGGGTAAGAAAGAGGATCGATGCTTTCGTTGGACGAACCGGAAGAAACAGGCAACAGGACGTTCGCCTACTAGTAGTTGATTAGTGCATATTAGATGATTCATTCTGAATACATGTAGTTTAGAAAGGAGTGCGGATCACCATAGGATCGAAGGAGTGGTACTGTAGATTCCCGGACGCCAACTGCACGGAATGTTTGATATCAGCATGAGAGCATGGTTGGTTGGTTGACTTGCCACCAGTTTTGGCAGGGTTGGGTAACATAGGATGACGAACCATTGTCTTTCCGCCACCTAGGACCGGCTACTACTGATAGGTGATTTTGCTTCGCGAAAGCAAGCTCCGGTTGGAGCTACTACACTGCAATGACGAATACGATGATAGGCATCAGAGGAGTGCTGTGTGTCGTACTGAGGTTGGGTCCACCAACCAATACGAGAGGTGGAGCCTGGGGCTGGTTGTGCCGTTTCGCAAAGCTAGAGGATGGGTCTGGTTGTGGTGAATTGTGGTTCTGTCCACGATGGATGAACTCATTGATGAAATGAAGGCCTGCAATTTTGTAGGCCTAGTCAACTGGCGGAAACCCAACCTGCAAGGGTGACGAAGGGTTGTTTGTGGGCGATTCTGCGGGCGACTCTGCTGTGGAAGCCCTGGAGGAGGCAAAGGAACTTGGGTGGAATGACCCATGCCTTCAGCCGTACGGTATAGGAGGACCCACTGGACAATGGATTTGCAAAACGTGCGAGTTGCTCGTGGGCTGGCGCCTTCTTTGGCAACAACTCGGCTAATTTGTCGCCATTTCATATGAGAGCATTGTCTAGCTCGGCCAGCGGAAAGGATGAAGCAAGGATAGTAGCTAGCTAGCTAGCGGAATGGAGACCCAAGAAATTTCTATGATTTTATGGATGCATCAGAGAGTTAGTTAGCAAACTACACTCTGCCGCTCAGCTCGCTTTGGGTGGCTGGGTGATGAGCAATACAGTGGTGCAGTATATAATCCTGATGGCTAGCAGCTACGCTCATCTTCTTCCGTCCGACTCCGATTCGAGCTCCTTGCATGTCGTTGTTCCAGCTTTCTCTTTCCCCGTTCTTTCATCCAGTACCGCAGATGTTCGATTGTAGTTCGTGCCGCAACAGTATCTGAATGATCTTCTCCCTTGGTTCTCCTGTAAATGCTTAGTGCGTGTCTATATTGCCGCTCGGCATCTGCCAGTTCCCCCATTTTGTAATGTACATTCCCAAGACTTTTGTAGGCACTAGCAACTTCGGGGTGGCCCGTGCCGTGCACTGTGCACTTGATGCTCAGTACGTCTCGGAAAATGTCATACGCTTCCTCATACTCGCCCTTCTTGGTCATGATTGTCCCAATGCTCTTGAGAATTGGAGCCACATCAGGATGGTGAAGACCATACGCGTCTCGGTTCAGTCGCAGTGCCTCTCTGTAGAACATCATGGCACTATCAAGATTCCTGCGTTTGTAGTGGATGCTTCCCACCATAACTAGAGTGCCAGCAACTGTAGGGTTACCGGGACCCAGGGTCGTGTGATAGATACGGATTGCCTCTTGGTAGCAGTTCATGGCTTCGTCATAGTCCCCACGTTTGTGATGGATTCCACCGATGTAGTGGAGAATTCCAGCGATGTCTTGGTGATTCGTCGAGCCTCTGTTTCGAATTGTCAGCTCGTAAGCTTCTCGGTAGTGATCCATGGCTTGGTCAAGGTCATTCTTCTTCACATGGATACTTGCCATTCTTGTCAGCACGGATGCTATAGTTTCTCGTCCAATGGTAGTACCATCAACGCCGTTTGACCTCAGAAGGCTCATAGCCTCCTTGAAGAACCCCATAGCAGTGTCGAGTTCCCCTTTCTTGGCGTGCACCATACCGATCACTTTCAATGTGGAGGTTACGTCTCTCATGGCATTTGCGAACTCTGCAGCGTTCGCTGTTCCTTCGCTCCTGTCCATTGAGTTGTCTTGAATTGACTTGTAGATCGAAAGAGCTTTCATGTAGTGCGTCAGAGCCTCATCAAGTTCACCTACACGGTTCTTGACATTCCCCATGCAGGACACAGCGCTAGCTACGTCTCGGTTCATTTCGTCGCCGTCGTTGACCGCCAGGTATATTCTCCGTGCCTTTTCAAACTCCTCCATAGCCCCTTCATACTCGCCTCTCTCTGCTAACACCATTCCAATGTTTTTTCTGGCACCCGCTACGAAAGTGTGGTTTTCACCGAACGCGTTCTTGTAGACAGCCTTGGCATCTCGATACATTTGGAGCTCTTCTACTCGGTTTCCCAACTTGTAGTAGACACTTCCCAAACGTATCAAAGTGGACGCACTGTTGGCAGACAGGTTCAGGTCGTTCTCTATCTTGGAACTCATTTCTTTTTGGATGCTCATGATTTCTTGGTAGATCTCCACCGAGAGTTCGAGATCACTGGCGTCGCCTTGTTGCCCATCTTTCTTGCTCCCTCCACTCGACGGGGAGGGCATGGGTTGCTTGCGGTTTTCGCACAGGAGATCTGCTCTAAGCTTGAAAGAGTTGTAGACTTCTTTGTGCTGTTCCAAGTTGGTCCCTTGGTAGGAATCCAGCACTGTTCGGAACATTTCAAGGGCTTCATTCAGATCAGAACCAGTTTCCGGTACTACAGACATACATATTGATGTCGACCGTTTGAAAGGTTCATTTTCAAGAGCATCGCTTCCAGGAAGACTATCGCCTTTCCGTCGTTTGTTGCTTGAAGCACGACTTTCACTGTTGGGGCTAAGAGGCGTGGATTTTCTCTTCTCCATGCCAAGGTTGCTACCATCCCCTGTCCGGAAGGATATGCTTCTGAACAAGTCATCAAGTGCTTTGACGTCTTCATTGATTTCGCTCATCAGCGTAGAGTTATCCTCTCCACCATTCAAGCCAGAAAACAAGGATCTTGATTCGCCAGAGATTGTCCCATCTTCTGGTAGTTTCTTGAGCTTTGTTGCTCGGAGATTGGTGACTTCTGTATAATACCGCATAGCCTCGTCTTGTTCCCCCCTGAGTGAGTGGACATTCCCCATGTTTCTTAGCGTCAGGACGATTTCGTCAACTTTGTTGTCGTGCACTTCTGCTTCGTCGTTCAGGTCAGTGTCGAAGACGGAAGATGAAAGCGAGCTCGTTCTACTGAAGCTGCCTTCCCCATTCAATGGAGACGACAGAAAGTTGGAAAATACGCTTCTTTTCTCGTGTAGGGCCTCTGCAAATGCGTCCATAGCATCGTCGTACTCCTTTTGCCGTACATGATGTTCCCCTAACCTATCCAGAGATGATGCCAACGCTACCCTTGCTTGCCTAACTGCCAGCCGTTGCTCTTCGACGCTCTGCTTGAGCACTTGGTAGTCACCGTTCATTCGAGGGGTACCCGTGCCCTGCAGGACACTGCCTTTGCGTCTGGGTGAGGGATGCAATGGATCCACGGTGCTGCCACTGCTACTACTATTTCTCATTCGCCGAATGGGCGACACTCTTGGTGCGTACATCGTCTGTCTCACCGATGCAGGTACACCGCTCGTCCAGCTCCAAGTCTTTCCAAATCCAATCAATATCCTAACGAAGCGTTGTTACCGTCGATGCATTTATCAAATCTCGACTAACAGCGGGCAACTACTAGTATCATATAACTTGGAAGGATCCACACCGTAGGAAGGAACTCGGAATAGCTCAGCACCAGAAGAAGAGATGTAATGCGTCTTGAGCCCATAGACAGACACAAGGGTCAATTCAGTGATGGCCTGAGCACAAGCCGTGCCCATCCAACTCCTATTAGAGAGTCAGTCGTTGTGTACACGATGGCGATGGGTCTCGTCGCTTGGGTAGCCTCCAATACTTCGCCCACAGCAGCGCGGCGGGCTAATTGTGTGACTTGTGAGCGATCGCACGAGAGGCAATGAGAGGTGCGACGTGCGTTTTAGTAATTAGACTTATTATGGCTACTTAGGCTGTCGAGTAGAGCGGTGTGGTCACAGCCTCAGGATCCAATGTGCTTCTTTTCTCTTCTCTTTTGAGGGCATGTTGCCGTCGCGTCCCTCGCCGAAGAAGCATTGACATTCAAAGTGATCACCATCTACTTAGGCTGTGAGTTGATTGAAAGAGTCGCTGGAGGATAAGAGTGCAATTGAATAGTACTGCACCAGAAGGGGATCAAGTATCTGATTCTCTTAAGCTGTTTTTCTCAGATACCAAGCCTTTATTATCATTGAGCGACGGTACGGAGCAGCTCTCTGCTGTCGCTTGTTATTTGTGCAAATGATTGGTTAGCCCGAATTTTGAATTCGAACGTATGTCATGTATATGCACACCGCCCTGGACACTGGACACTGAATGAACTGGACTATGCATATGTGGCGGCATAATTCGTCGCGTCATGTTCAGCGCCATCGTCGGTTTGGCACTCTGGCTGCGGAGGACTCTTAAGCAGCCAAGAACGAGGCATCAAGTCACACCTTGAACCCAGAGCTAGCCTTTTGCCTACCAGGTACTCGTACTGGTACTACGGCACCAACGCCAAAACTTGCATTGAGGAGGCAGCCAACCAAAGAAGGCTCGCCGCTGTCACCGCACCGCGACAATCCAGCTTCACCCGACGTGACAAGGCGGTACAACCTCCCACGCCACACTCCCACGGTTGGCTCTCACCGGATGGTTTTGTTCGGGCGTACAAGCGCCGCAGAACGGGGCCAACGGCCAAATATTGCAATTCGTCCTGATGACCAAGACCAGGTAGCTAGCCAGCAACCGGTGGTACCAGGTATCGGTAGCTACATGTACTACCAGCTAAAATGTTTGTTTGAGGGCTATCTGTCAGGTTGAGCTACCGGTACCAGGTAGCAAGCAGCCAGTAGACCTACAGCAGATAACCTGGACCATTCAGCCTTTTAAAGCATCGTTTCAGCACGAATGCCATAGCTGCAGTATCATCTATCTGCAACAAAAAGATAACTACATGTACAATGACTGCGGACTGCGGTATTGTGAATCTACAGTTTTAGTGTACCCCACTTTTGCTGCAAGAGAATTCCACATCCAACAAGACAACTGCTCGAGTACTCGAGTACACTGTTTTCCGCTTCTATGACAGATTGGACGGCATCTTAATGTACGTTGTGGTAAGACAGATAGAAGTCGTCAACATCAGCACAGCCGCAACAACACAGGACAATGGTGGTACACCGGGACCACCACTACATGTACAGTCGTACAGTAGCCGTCGGAGTGGGTTGTGGCCACGGAGTGATTCGGATCTCAAGAAAAAAAATCGGATTGACGAGTTCAATCGAACGATTCGATCGAATCGAATTCATTCGTCCGGTACTGGGCACCAATCACTCCTTCAATATCCTATCCCACTGCCCAGATAGCTCCAATATCCAAAGGAGGTTTGAGAAGGGAGGCTATCTATTGGATCCAATCTAGAGAATCCAACAAGCAAGGGGTGGGCCAGCCAGTACGATTATCCATAGAAAAAGAAGACATCATTCGCACCCAACAAGAAGAATAGGTTCTAAGCAACTGCACATGACTAGACTATTTAAATTTTGTATAAGCCTCATGAATGAACGAATAGGTAATAGATAGACACCCAACAAACTTTCTTCACTTGGACAAACGATAAAATAACACTCTGTTTGAAACAGTCGCACTTTCGTTTTCATGATATTCGCTCAGCACGACGCACAAAGACTTGCAGCCAACAAAGATGGTTGCTGCTATTGTTGCTTTTTGTAGTATCGACGTCGCACCAATGCCACGACCGATGCGGCAATGAGAAAGCACCCCCGAATGGGCTTGCAGAGAAAGAAATAGCTGAGATTGACAAGCAACCGGTGCATGAAACTGGCGTCTTGATGCCAACTGGAATTGGTACTGGAATGATGCAACCACTCAGTATCACAGGTTTCTGATGGTTGGCCTGTTTCCCATGCATCACAGACCGAACATCCCCGAAAGGATTTCTTGTCCATGACTTCCACACCTTCGGAAAAACAGTGGCCCACCATACCCCACAAGTAGGATGATCCAGCCGATGACAAGATTTCCCAGTGTCGCCAGTGGCTAAACTGAATCCAAGAGTATTGAAACTTGGGCAGATTGTCAACAGCACACTTCATAAATTCCGACTGTGGAGCCGCTGCCATGAAAGCATTGGTCACTCCACAATTCAAGGATTCTGCCAAAAGGACATCCTTGCCAGCATCTTCCCATTGCTGCAACAACTTGTCCAAAGAAGTGGCAGGGTAGATATCCATGTCACTGTAGAGTCCACCATAGTGATGTAGAATCATGTACCGAACCGAGTCAACGCGTTGAATCATGTACTTGTAGCTCTTCCAGAACTCTTCCATCTCTGGATAGTAAGTGTGGACAAACTCAGCCAGGTCCTGGTCCGACCAAAAGCGAATTTCCCAGTCTGGATTGGTCTTCTCCCACTGTTGGAGGCTGTATTCCCATTCGGCAGGAAGTTGGTCTCTTGATTTGTAAGTGACATGGACAATACGGGGGATATGGACTGGTTTGGCATACACGGGAGCAGGGAGGGAGTCTGCATCATGGTGGTAGTGAAAGTTTGGAACTGAAGTGTAGGGCTTCAAACCATTGGGATACATGGCACTGTGCGAAAAGCCATATTGGAGTGACAGCAAGAACGGCACAAAGCTGTAGAAAGCATAAGTAAGGACCAGAGCGAGAGCTGCCCACGGCAGAAAGCAGCAGATCCTGCAGACAATTTTGAGAAGGATAGAATCAGAGCTGCTAGAAGACTTGTTGGAAGAAGGAGGAGAAGAAAGATAACTGTCTTCTAAATCAGAAGAAGAATCAGCCTGATGAATCAGTGGTAGCACATCCGACTGATCGCCGCTGTGAGTGGGACTGTGTCGTCCCTTCATGCGGCTGCGAAAGTTGGCCAACTTGCCGGAGATATCCCAAAGTTCACTATCCGAGTCAGAGCTGGAATCATGGGAACGATCATCATTGATGAAATAGTCGATACAATCATCTTTGCCATCATCACGAGGCTCTTCATAGGACATTTTGCGTTTGCGCTTGGTTGTTGTTTCTTCATCATCTTGATCATTGGTTTTGTTCTTTTGAAAGAAAAACCAACCTCGTTGAGAAGGAGACTCCAACAGTGGCAATTGAGCCTGATCCAGCAGTAGCGACGGCATTGTTTCTTCTTCTGTTTGACAAGCAGTCAGGATAGTTTTTATAAGGAGTTCTGATGATGTTGTCAAGCACTGTTTTCTCTTGGAGATTCGTGGTTCTGTCTCACCTGTTCGTAAGATGGGAAGGGATCTTCCTTCGTGTTTTTCTTTGGTGTTCCACTTTTTGATGCGATTCCCACACCTGCCTCCGAGAAGCCAGTCCAGTCAATCGGTTCTTGTAAGCGCTTGTGCAGCAAAGACCGCACTTTGTCAGGGTGTGCATGCTCAACTCCCAAATCTCCAAGAATTAAGAGTGGGCCTCGAGAGGCTTATCTAGGTCTAAACGGACGGTTGACACCCAAACAGTCGGCTAACTCCACATTGGTCCTTATTACTAAGATTTTCTACCGTGATGCCACAGTCTCTTCAAGGTTCGTGAAGTTACATCCATGCAGATACGCGGCTATTGAGACAGGCTTCGCAGTCGAGGTCGAGGGGTTCGGGCTCTGCCGTGCTGCCGTGCATCCAACGGAAAACCAATTGATTGCTCTGATGTATGATACTGGCATCAGAACCGATTCCAGCCTACGTAGTACTCTACTCTGGAGTGCGGTAGAGTCGACGATTTTGTTGTGCCCACCACGAGACTACTAGCTAGCTAGCTAGATGACATAGGATGTGAAGCAATCCGTTTGGTTTAGTATGGTTTTATGCTTGCTTTGTCCCTGCTGGCAGCTTCTCTGATACACAGGACCGTTCAGGTACACCGTACCTGGTACCTACCGGTAGTGCACTCAGAATGCATCAAGAGGATCCGCAACGGTGTCTTTGACGCCCCCTTAGCTTTCAGTTGGAGGCAAAATCAGTGCTCTTGTAGTAGATGTCGCTTGAGGCACCAACTATCATTGAAAGTGCTTCGTATCGTCTTTTGGCAACTAAACTAGAGCTAGCTACTAGCTAGCCATGTCCTGTCGAACTGTTGCAATAAGATCAGCCGTGATGAGTTCCTTCGCAGTTCCTGTGTTCCTGTAGACCTTCGCTTCGACAACAGAACACGGCAGCTGTAGGCAATCTGGAAGCTTTCTTCTTGGGGGTTCTCTCTTTGTACGACTCACCCGATCTCAGCCATACACACATCCTAGCTAGTGCGGCACAGCTACAACAACGGTACAACAGAGTCGAGTCGAGCGAGTCACCCAGAGAGCTTCTTCTTTTGTGATCATATTTAGAATACTCACTTTTTGCTGCAATTGATAAAATCACAAAAACACAGAATTGAAGAATGAGAATGAAAGAACTGGAACATCACAAACTGTTGATTTGATTTGTATTTTCTGCTGTCACTGTCGCTCGCGTTTGTGTTTGCCGACCTGTCAGTTCAAGACTTAATCTGAAGTACAACACCTGAGCCACCGCCAAACCTCCCCCTCCAAGAACTTCCATCTCTAGCTAGCTAGAACATCTATTCCAAGCGCATCCATCCATCTTCGCGTACCTGCCTGACATGATTCGGTCTACTAGTAGTGCTAGTAGCAGTACCACCACCTTGAAACATAATCTCTTACGACGACGAGCGTCCTCCATGATGTGCGATAACAACGACGAGCAAAACAATCTCCTCACGAGGCAACATGACTGTCCACGTTGGCCACGACTATTTGCGGCGCCCATCTGCTGCACCATTTTGGGTTTCCTGGTATCCCCCAAGTTTTTGGTTCTGGGTTGTGTCTATGGATTGACCACGCTGCGGCCACTCTATTGTTGTTATCATCAACATGCTGCCGCTACCAAGATCACCCTTTCTCAACAACGACAAAAACCAGGACAAGCCAATGCCCAAGTGGAAGCCGCATTGGCGCTCCACCGTTCCTTAACCTTCCAGTTTGCCATGTTGGCATTTTGCCTGTGGCTCTACGAACACTCTCGCCTCCTCTGTACTGCCAGCAATGACAGCAACGACGTTGTCCACAAGGCATTTGACATGGCACGGCACATTGTCCGATGGGAAAGTGCTGTGGGGCTGGCCGTGGAACCACAGATTCAAGACTTTTTCCTCCAGCACTTTGGTTGGGTGATGGTGCTGGCGAATACCTACTATGCTGTCATGCATTTTGTCGTGCCTTTGGGTGTCATGGCACGCCTGATTATCTACAACAAGGACGCTCAGTATCGATACCGAGTGGGATTCTTCCTCATGCTCTCACTGGCGCTGGTACTCTTTATTGTCCTCCCCACCATGCCTCCACGCTTACTGCCCTCATATCATGCCGAGTACATTGAAACGGGTCAAATCATCTTGTCCGAACATGATGCCACCATACTGGAACCCTACTGGTCCATTATTGACACCATGAAAGCCAGTGAGACCATCTACAACAAACTACACAAGGAAGGTGGGAATCCCTTTGCCGCCTTGCCCTCCATGCACACGGGTTGGGCACTCTGGAGTTGTCTGACGGTCCTGTCCACGTTGGATGCGGACAATGACGACAATGCCAAAACCAACCTGCTGCAACGAATCATGGCTGTCGGACATGTTTGTTGCATTGTATTTGTCATTATCACCACGGGCAATCACTTTTGGTTGGATGCCGTGGCGGGAGCCGCTTGTGTCTTGATTGGACGTGTCATGGCACATTGCCTCATTCAATGGATACTGGATGTTTGCTTCAGTTGGCCGGCTCTGTCCAATCTCTTGCAACGGTTGGGACCCGTCAAGGCGCAGCAGCAGCCACCAGGAGATGATTGGGATGATGAATTGACACAGGAGTTGTCCCCGCGACGAAATGGCTCCATGGCCGTCGCTGATATTGTGTAGCATGGCCCTCGTGCGATGAAAGAAGAACTATCTGCTCTTTGACGTTGTGTGGGAGCGGAAAGAGCTGTGTGTCTACTGGATGTTCCGGTACCTCCAAAAGAAGATCCTTCACAGTATAAAACTTCCAATAATAGAGGAATATATGCATTTTTGAAAACAAATGAATAGTCAGCTTCCAGGCCTACAACAAGTGAGTGATGGTTTGGATCAGCAATGTGGCTCCTCGCTTGGCCCATCACCTCAACAATTTTAAAATTCTCGACCAAAGAAATCCCACCCCACTTGTAAGAGGTCGCTGCCGCTTGCCATTTTGACTTCACTATCGAGGCATCGAGGCCTGTGGCTAGTATCCTTTAGTATCCTTTTTTCATAGCCTAGCTAGGTACAAAGTACGGGGTCACCATTGCCTCCATCCAACCCCGTCAATGTTCAATCTTCCCAACACCTGTCGCGTCCTTTTAGCCAGCTATGTATTCATGACTCGACTCCGACTGGTTCGTCCCAAGTGCAAGAAAAGATCCGAAGCCGCTCGAAGCTCGGATCGAGCAACAGATCGAGCTCTGAGACACGGACACAATCACAAGAACCTCGGAAAACCAAACATGACGAAGTTGTTGGACCTCCCTGTAGAATGCCTCCAGGCCGTTGTTGCCTACTCCTCGTCTCCCAATGACCTCTGTGCCTTGGACGAGACGAGCCGGATCGTTTGCAATTTGACAGAGCCATTTTGGGAAAAATTGGCACTAGAGACATTTGGCATCAAGAAATGCTCCAAAGCTGGTGGCAAGGCGGCGTGGCGAAAAGGCAAAGCATTGACATCTCCTGAACGAGGCTGGCACTTTGTCTTTCAAATTGAACCCAAAGAGGTATATCACACGGGCATCTCTCATTTATCATGCACTTCTCGCACCATTGTGGAGTTTCCGGAAGGATATGAAACATTGAGTGGGGGAGATTGGGATGGCTGGGTCTGCCGTCATTGTTCGCGACACAAAGACTCTGGAACAGCGAGCTATCCTGGACACGCACCATGGAGATCATTGGACTTACTGCGCAGTGGGTGGTTCTGGGAACTCTGAAGTGATCTGCTTGTCAGAAGATTCTTCCAAGTTTGCTGTGTTGCAAAATGATGAGTTCTACCGGAAATATGCGCTTGAGGAAATGTTTCCTGAAGATCATGACAGACTTGCTGGTGAGCTTGGTAGAAGTGGCTTTGCAGTCATGGTACTTGGTTGTGAAAATCATTTCATCATCTATGCAAATGGCAAACTCTACGTGGTTGGCTTCAAAGGACACGAGAAGATATCCGATGAGAACAATCCAATTGTACCTCTTCGATCGGTAGATTTGATACCATCATTAGAGGATGCATGTGGTGCATGCAGTTGTAGCATGAAGTGGGGGTCCAATGATTTGCTACCTGGTACATTTATTGTCAATGACGAAGAAATTTCAGTGTGGCATTTTGATGACAAAACTTCTACGCTCTCCCATGTGCAAACGCTCGAGACCGAAGAAGGGAAGCAGTATAATGCAGTCGCTGTTAGTGAAAGGCACATTGTTGCTCTTCTTGAGGACACAACGTGTCTCCACCTCTACGATCGGAGCACTGGGGCCAAGATAGCAGAACAGGACTTCTGCTTGAAGGGGATTGGTGCCAGCCAACTGCCAAATTTTGGTCCTCAGCTCCATGTTGTTGGGGAGATCGTTGTCTGTACTTCGTTTGGTGACAATGGACTGTGCGTCTGGCAGCTGCTGACAAATGAAACTCACCATGTACCAAGGGTCACGAATCGAGATTCCGATGAGGTCACCTCGATGGTTCAGGTGAATGGAGGCGGATATACCTGCTTCCTCTCTCGTGCTTTTAACAAAATGAATGCAACAGTCTGGGGATTCCCAGAGTCTGAACAAGGCCTTCGCAACCTTCAAGAGCTAGTCAAGCGCCATACATGGGTGTCAGGTCCGCCTATCAGTATCCCAATCAACAAGAAGCGACGACGAGACGACATGTGATTCAGAATGGAATGTCCCGCCCGCTAAAAGACACGAAGGAATCAAAGGGAAGCTAGTCCCGGCAGCCGCTGTGTGTGAGTACGGTGGCTTGTTTCTCTGTGTATCTGACTATGGCTTTGGAGAGTCTATAGCTTTATACATTACGCATTTCATCCCAGAAATCGCACCAATACAGTTTCGTAGTTTGCTAATTGTTGACTGCGCCCCTAAGGAGATGTATCCTTTACCCCACAAGCAACAAAGGAAGGATTCGCCGAGAGCATATAGAAGAGAGCATCCAAGTCATCTTGCAGCGTGACAAGTTTGCCGAGAAACTGGCTTGGAGCAAAGTCCGGCAACTGAAGATTACGGATACCGGCTTGATTGAGTCGCAAATAAAAGTCAATCTCTCGTTGAAATTCCAAACGGAAATCCTCCGAAGATAACATCTCGGAAGGCGCGTCGACTTCAATCAAAGAGTCGTCTTGTGACGAGTCTTCGCTGCGACTCAATTCAAAAACTTCCACCACCGTATTCCTCTTGAGCATTTGAACAACGGAGTGATATCCTTTGGACGTGACTCGGGGGGGCTTCGTGCATTGCAAACGAAGAGTTTTCAATGTTCGATTGCTTCGTTCCAAAACAGAAGCAATGGAAACAAGCCCATCATCGTCGATAATGTTACAAATGACACTCATTTCTTCAATAGTGTCACTGGCTTGCAAGAGATTTGCAAATGCAGACACTCCTCGGCTGCTGATAGACGTATCATTCGCGTTGTCCAAAAAGAGCATGAGTTCTCGCAGTCTTGATTGGGCGAGAACCTTGGCAATCTGGTGAACCCCATCGTCATCCAACTCTTGGCATACAAGGCTCAGGTATTCCAAAGAGGTGCTGCTGCTCTTGTCATGACTTAAATTAGGAGTCCGCAAGACCTGAGAAATCAGAGACAAGAGTCCATCTCTTCGGGTCTCGTCGCGACAATCAAATGTCCCCAAGCAAAGGGCCTTGAGGTTGTTGTTCCTCCCCACAGTGTTGGCAATGGTCAGCGCCCCGCTGTTGTCCACTGCCGTGTCCAACACCAAGCCTTTGAGGGACCGTTTGTGCACTTGAAGCATCAGAGACAGCTCTTTGTAGCTCATCTCAGTCATCACTCCGCTCCAACAACGAAGCTTGAGAACTCTCAGAATACCGTCCTTCCTTGTAGCATCAATTTCTTTGATGAAGTTGTAATCCCCGTCTTCATCAAAATATCCAAACTTGACCTTGGTCAATGCGCGAGAGTGACTCAGACCCGTCACGCCACCCTCATCAACACTGCCATATCACGTGTGAACTCATCCGCCCAGGTGATTTCCAGGCGCTCCAGAGAGACAAAATTGCAGAGCGTCATCATGACAATTCGACCCAAAGGAAGCTCAGCGATATCAGCCGGCATGTCCCGAATCCTAATCTCTTGAATGCTTTGGTTCTGGAACTCCCAGTACCGCTGATGCTGTCGATAATACTGATCCCGTTTCCAGCAACGACAGCAATTGAAATAGTACAGAAACTCTGGAAAGCTGTGGTCCATACTCAGGCTCTTGAGACCGGAATGAGAACAAATGGAATCGGCCAGTTCTCGCCGCCATCTCTCTGACAAACTGTCGAAGAAGCCACTTCCGATGGAACACGTTGTGACTGTTGTGTTCGATCGGATAGCCTGCAAGAGATCTGAAACCTCTTCCTCTTTCTCAATCGGAACACACAGGTCCAGAACCGTAAAGTCGAGTCTGTTGGAGGATAATGCTTCAATTATTTGAGGTAGCTCAATCTTTGCCAAGCCGTCGGCGTCGTCATCAGCGTCATCATTCGCGATGGAAGCTATTGACATGTCCTCATCCGAAACCGAGTCAAAGGAAAAAGACGAATCATCAGAACAAGAGGCGTCCATGCTGCAAAAAGAGGAATCATCGTCACTGCAGCAGGATGATGCTGCCATGTCTACTACGTCCTTTTCGGTTTGATCGACGACAGGCATTGTTATCCGATCTACCAAGACCGAGTGAGGCACAGTACGGTCCGCCATGATAATACCTTGCCAGATGATAGATTAGTGTCGGGGTATCCAAGTGCTGAGGACAACATGTAATCAACAGCCTGGGCTTAGAGTCATGTCTTGACTATGGCTGAGTATCAGCCTGGATATGCTGGTTGCTTGCTGTTGCTGATCCATCATAAAGGACCAGGCAAGCGAGAGCACCCGCCATGGATTTCTATGTGTTGGTCTATCAATGCGGTCTCAAAAATGTGTTTAGGAAGTGGAACGCTCTTTTCTTAGAAAAAGAGGGCATTTTTGCTCGAGAAAATGCCTAATTCTGGGATCGTTTAGAGCATCACTGTATCGCCTTACTTGCTTAACGATGTATCCTACCGTCCGGCGCGCATCGGCAAACAACACGAAAAATCGAGCGAAAATGGCGCTGCATGACTCTTTGTTGACACTGTTAACTCCCTTTCGACAGCTTGACTTTGCTGTGAGCCCTTTCTATAAGTCTATCGGTGGCATCGCCGCTTATCCTGCCACCTTTGGAGCGCCAGAGGCTTAGAGATAACAGGGTGGAAAAGAATCAGCGATACGGCTGTTTAAGCCTTCCTGAGCACCTATGAGTGGCAGGTTAAGTCTCTTCACCTTCTTTACTATTTTCCCAACAAGTTTGTTTATGGTTGCTATCGCCGAAAAGACCCAGAAGAGGTGCAACAAGCACCATCTTGATAGGCGATTTTGCTCGATTTTTCGTGTTGTTTGCCGATGCGCGCCGGACTGTGGGATACATCGTTAAAAGACTGACCATCATCATTGCAAGGTGCACCTCCGCTCGGCATTGGCAATTAGTTTTGTCCGTGATTGACCAAGATACGCAGTTGGCAAGCTAGTGTGGCTGTGTGAACATTCCGTTGGTGGCGATGCAACTTGACGGCAGAAACTTGCTCTGTCGGTCTCCTAATCTGATCCCCATACGGCAGGAAACTGGCCGGTAGGAAATGGCTATCCTTCATCCAACACCCATGATGCTGTTATTGGGTGAGTAAACAGAAAGCAGAAGGGCTGCATGGAGGGACTTCTAAAATGGATGTGAGCCTTCAACTTCAAATAGAACAGCCAGCTCATGTCACCCTTTTTGATCTATTCCAGCCAGTATGCATGACTATGACACATTTACTAGCTAACTTCCCTACAAATATGAAACGTTCATGCCAGTCTGTTGTACTCAGCTTCCTGGCAACTGGCACCTTTACTTACCGGTAGGTTTGCATTGCAACACCAGTATCCTCATTCTATCCTGACCTGACCATGCCTTCTCCCTGGCCTTTTACAATCCATACATCATCTAAGACTGTTCCTGCAGCTGGATCATCATTCGCGCCAGCTCTCACAAACTCAAAATGCATGGAAGTTGCATTTGCCACTGTGACCCTTCCATAACCAAAGTGCCCCCTTACAATCTTCTTTGTCCAATGAATGGATGGTACCTTTGGGTCATACATCAACTTAGCACCAGCAGTCCCCACTATGATGTGTGTGGGACCTCCCACATTGCACTTTCCTTTGTATAGCCCTGCACAACTTCTTTCATAAGAATGCAAATGACCTGCCAGGACTAGATCAACTTGATAAGTCTTCAAAAGGTGTTCAATGCGATGCAGCATTTCCATACCCACAACACTATCAATTGGATCAACTTCAGATTCATAGAAGGGTCTGTGGAGCTCCAGCACTATCCATGGAAGCAATGATCTATCCACAGATTTCAAGTCCTCTTCAAGCCATCTGTACTGTTTTGATCCCAGCGACATGTCATGTTCAGATGAAATTGCAATGGTGTGAACATTGGCAAAGTTGTAGGAATACCAGAATACTCCATTGCTTCCACTGCTATGTGGCATGAAGAAGTGTCGTGCAGTTGGAACACCACACTCTCCACCAGAATCTGTACCAAAATTTCCCCACCGAGGCTTGTATCCATCCTTGGTAGGCACACCAGATGGATCCTTACCTGCTCCTCCTCCATCTGTGTGGTCATATTCATGATTCCCAATAGAAACCATGAGAGGAACCTTGACAGCAAATGGAGACACCATGTTGAGCCATTCATCCCATATGTGTGCTGCACCACGGGCATAACTAATGTCACCAAAGTGATGCACGGACCGAATGGGAGTTGGGAGGTTTGCTTCCCGTGTGGCCATTGCGGCAATCCAGGCACCTCCTTGTCCCCAGCCATCGGAAGGTGATCCTTGATCCGCATAGACAAGGAACGAATGGGGCTCTGCGTCCGCCCTGATTTCTGGTGGAGATAGAAAGGAGTGAATCTCGGACCATGTTGTGACATTGACTCTCTCGTGGTTGACTCCTACTTGATAGTAATATGTTGTATTGGGTTCAAGATGTGTCATTTTGACCACATGTAGTAGCCCCGGAGGCTGAAACTTCCCCGGTTCTTCTTTTTTCGCTGGATCTTGGCACATGTCTTTTGCCGTGTATGTGCTGCTGCTTCCATTGGCATGGAGAGTCAGGGCGTCCTTTTCGGTTCCATACTTGATCATTGGGGTACCATTGATTTTCCCTGTCTTGAACTGGACCACCATTTCATCCACACGGTTGGTGAATGCCAAATGTATCGCCGTTGGTTGAGAGTTACCATTCTGGATATGAAGCATATTGGATTTGGCCAAGAGGGTGATCCGGTTGCGAGAGAGCATCTTGTACAAGTGAAACTGGCAAGCATCGTGTCGTTCCAGCGGAAAGCTGGGAAAGTGCCACATGTCGTGTCCGTGACTGTTGGTGTCTTGGCCGCCATAATGCTTTCTCGAGGTGGCCTTGGCTTGGGCGACCGTAGCGGCATCCAGGAAGATTTTCTCATGGATCTCGCCTGGGGTTCCGCCTAGCTGGTCATCGCAGTACAACAGAATCACATCGTCGTCTTGAAGAATGGGCTGGCCCAGATTGTCGCTTCCCCGAGACCAGGAAACGGCCAATGCTCCCCGCATCTCGA